AGATAGATACATAGATAGACGGACAGACAGACCGATAGATAAACAAATAAATCGATAGACGGACAGATAGATAAATAGTTAGAGGGACAGCTAGAGACATAGATGGCGAGACAGACAGATAGATACATGGACACATAGACAGATAGATAGACAGATAGACAGATAGACAGACAGACAGATAGAGAGAGAGAGAGATATAGATAGATAGATAGATAGATAGATAGATAGACAGATAGTCAGACAGGTAGACAGGTAGACAGCTAGACAGATGAAAGAGAGAGAGAGAGATAGATAGATAGATGGATAGATAGATAGATAGGTAGATAGATAGGTAGATAGGTAATTAGATGAAAGAGAGAAAGAGAGAGATAGAAAGATCGATAGATAGATAGATACATAGAAGATAGGCTGGTAGGTAAGTAGATAGTCAGAGAAAGAGAGAGAGAGAGAGAGAGAGAGAGAAAGAGAGGAGACCTCAAGCACCTTTCAATCCATCAGTGGCTTCGCTCTGCCATCCCTGATTCACAACAACCAAGCTCTCCTATAGGTTTCCTATTTTTGAAACTTCCGCCACCGCCTTGTGCGGTACTACTGGTAAATTACTGCTTATACGTGAGGCTTGCAATTCCCCTTTGCGGTTCACTTTTTTTTTGTGGAGTGACCCCTTATGGCCTTAACTTATGGGATGAAATCGGGCTTTGCAGAAAAACATTTTTTTCAAGCTCCGAAAAAATGTTTTTTCGCGCATGCTTGGACACCTTAGCCCTGTGGGATGAAATCGGACCTTGCAACAACTCTGACAAGTTGTGCGCGTGGTGTGATTGTGAAAGGCAGACTACAGGAAACCAAGAAAACTACATAGTGGCAAAAAAACAATTTTTCAGGCTCTAAAAAATGTTTTTTCGGCACTGCTCTTGTGAAACTCAGACAAGCCCGGCTTTGCAAAAAAAACAATTTTTCAAGCTCTAAAAAAATGTTTTTTCGGCACTGCTCTTGTGAAACTCAGACAAGCCCGGCTTTGCAAAAAAAACAATTTTCAGGCTCTAAACTCTAAACAATTGTTTTTTCGTATGCCTCTTGTCAAATCTGCCAACTCCACCTCGTTACCTCGCTTTAGCTCGCTCCAAATTGCGCAAATGCATACAATACATAACTAAGAATGCTCTAAGAATTTGAGGGACCCTCGACCTATTGTGGTGGAAATTTGCCCGCATTTAAAAATAAGCATTTGAGGGACCCTGAGCCTCAAGCTTTCGGATTCTTAACCAACTCTCGGGCTGTATTCCACTCCGGCATTGAGCTTTGTGTACCAGATTGTACCAGTAATTACCAGTATGTACCAGCATACTGATGGATTGTGATTGAAGAAAATGCAAACACCCTTGCGCTGCTGACTTCCATCAGTTCGTGGGCGCACCAACCACTCAAGCTTGTTCGGCTGGTGGCTGCTTCAACCGTCGTCTCTTCATCTGGACCATACATTTTCATCACCTGGCCAAGGGTGTACACCCCGCCAGACCGGTTTGGGTCAGAATTGTGGATCCTGAAATTGGATGATTCAAGGGAGATACTACACATGATAATACTGAAAGAAGGGGGATGGCTGTACCTCCACCAAGGACTTTCGAGACTCTGCCAAGTCTGCTATTGACTTGCGTTGGGCTGCAGATGTCCTGTCGCAGAGACATGTAAAGACGGGGCATCAGAAGGGGAATCTTCAAATGTGCAGCTGTCTGGCATCTTTGCCTGATAACTGATAACACAATAAACAGTGTCGTCTGTTGGATTCGAATCCAAGAAGCAGTACCCAAACGACCGCACAAGCTGTCAACATTACTAACTAATCCATAGGCTGGTTCCTCCCTAGAGGGACTGCTTCAATAATATGGGAGTCTTCCGCGGGTTCTATGGAGCAAGTTGACCCTGCTTCTGTGCTGCTCATCAAACTTGATCAGAGTGATATGGAAAATACGAGTAGTTGCTTGATAAATTTGATAAAAGAATTTAAGGCCTTGGCAATGCTCCCGCAAGAAATCCCCATCAATACCAGCTGACCACTGAGAAGATAGAAACCTGATATAATAGCCTGATACTTTGTTCCGTCCGGCTCCAGTCACAGTGCATAATGCTCCGTCAATTTGCAGCAAGGTTTTGGTCCTCTTCGCTGCCTCACTCACCTTAATGTTCAGAATCACCGGGCATTGTGCAGCACTCCTTTCACCAAAAGAACTGAGCTACACACTTGAGGAGTCGATATTGAAGTCCTGTCCCGACTCAGTCGGGTGGAGCACTATCTATATCTACAACTTGTCAAAATGAGTGCTGAATTTGTGAATAAAGCGTCTACCTTGACTTCGCAAAGAAATCAAACATTTTTTTTCCGTTGAACTTGTCTTCCCTGTTTCTCCGTTTCAACATGGATATCCTTGAAGTGGCACTGGCCACAACGCTTGGACGATCATCTCCTGCCAATCCAAGCAGGTGAAAGTAAAAGGCATTGTGTGAGAAACAGGCCGTGCTAGAATCACTATGAATTACTGCACTCACCGGTTTAAGAATGGTTTACTGTGATGCGAATGCGTCCAATGAACGAGGTTTCGATCTGAACATTGCTGATAAACGTCACGAATATTTAGATATGACGTACACCAGTCAAACAAGTTTCTTTCTGCTTCAATCGATCAAACGAACCAGAAGTTTCAGAATGTGTCGCCAACATTCCGAGTCAAGACAAGTTGGGTACCTATAGATCAAAACAAACTTTGCAATGGACTCTTGACTATCTTGCGTAGATTCACATGAGAAGTACAGTGTTTTAAATGTAAGATCTTGAGGCCAGTGCCTAGGGCGTACTCGCTGATTGTGGACGAAATCACCGACCTCTTTCAATCATGCATTTTGTCTTTGCAGCTGTCAAGTTTCCCCAGAGAGGTAAGTTTGACAGTGAGAGAAACCAATGGGTTTCACTCTTTCTGGAGACCACGCCCTCAAATCACAGTGTGGATTTGACCACCAAAGAGGCACCCCCAATCACAATCCCAAGCTTTAGCATTATTTTGTCCATTCATTTGACGGCCACTTATCATTCGAATCACTAACCTGGTTTCTTATTGTGGTTTATCACCATATATCACCGTTGATCATTTTGGGTATCCATGAAACCGCCATTGGACAAAGCCGTGTAGATCGTGTTTGTTCGCATCCCTGGCCTCCTGGATGCTGAGGCAGCAAAGCTGGCTCTGCCTGTGTTGGCCTCAACTTCTGACGAAATCTGGATGAAATTGATGAAATACCTTGATCATCCTTGGTCCAGTATGATCCAGTATAGTCTGACAGTCTATAGTAATATCATGCCATCATTCAATATCACGAATAAATATCATATGATATATCATCCAATAAAATCATCCAATAAATAAATATCATCCAAGATCATGGAATCCAATGTCTTGTCCTATTTCTTGTTCAGTCAATGCAAGCAAAGAATGGCAACACCAAAGGCTTGCGCAGCAGCACCTGACCCTTGCTGTGCAGCAGGCAGATGGAATGCCAGGAACTGGACCGCAGCCAGGTAAGGACATTTTTGGCCTCGGAGCACTCAACTCCAGCAAGATCCAAGAAGGGGGTTTTCAGTGGTGCTTCTATATATCCCCAATCATCAATTTTTCCCCAACAGCGTAAGCTAATGGGGTCTTCAGCCCAGAACAGCTCCGGTGTGCACTGGTGCAGGCGCCGGGTCAGGTTCAACCAGGTTCCGGAGAAGGTTCCGGAGAAGGTCTGGGAGGCTTTGGTGCAGAGCCAGGTCAGGTTCAACAGGGTTCCCGAGAAGGTTCCGGAGAAGATCTGGGAGGCTTTGGTGCAGAGCCAGGTCAGGTTCAACAGGATTTGCGGCCATTTCATTCACGGAAACTTCCAGCGCTTGGCTTCGCAGCATGTTTCAGAAAGATTTGTAAAAATAAAACGTTGCGGCTGTTGGGGATACCACCGAAGCTTATTTTGGATGGATTTTCAATTATAAACCATCCATTTTGGGGATCCCCCATTGATGGAATACCCCAATTCCACTCAAAGAATCTTCGGCCAGTCTGAAATGGTCACCATACGGGAAGCACGCAACGTTTTAATTAGTGCAAATCTCACAGCTGTTCCAATCAAACATGTACATCCATCACTCTGCAAACAGACCTCATCAAACCTTTCTTATCTGTTCATATTCTTTTCCATCATTGTCCAACTCTCTCAAGTGTATCCAATTTTCCAACCATTACTGCTAAATTCTCACCACGGCCGGTCACCGGTCATCGCGACCAAGAAACGCCGGCGGAGGCTCGTCCAGGGCCGGCATGCTGGCTCGAGGCAAGGTCGCCGCCGTGGCAGTGAAGCTGCGCCGGAGGTCACATCTATCCATCAATTCAAATTCATTTGTGTATTGCGTGTGAATCTATCATTCTATCTGTCTAGTGGGATACGTCATATGCGTAATGTGATTATGAATCTATATGATTCATATTGATGCATCATATTGTGTACTGATTGTGTACTGATCGTGTACTGATTGTATAATTCTGGTCATTGAGACAGTCAGAACATGACATCGCTGGGATCCTGCCTGGAACCTGCAGCAGCTGAAGCTGCAGCCACTTCCAAGTCCACCTGCTGATCGATGCGGGCCTACCAAGTGCAGTTGATGGTTCTGCTGTTCTGCTTGCTTAAAGCAGGCTTAGTGCGCGATGGGTTGCAATGCATGGTAATGGATGCTTAGCAGTTTATGATAGTTTATGCTTAGTTTCAGCTCGCACCAAAGTTGCAGAATGCACGAGTCTTTTGCTTCTCTGGATGCGCAAGGTGCATAGAGTGGCAAGAAGTTCGCGTAATTGCACTCATTGGCCGGAAGGCAGGAGAAACTTCAACCCACTTTGAATTTGAAGCAAACTCAACGAACACAAGGCACAACCTCGCACTGCATAGAGAATACTATAGAATACTGAGAGTTGTTTGTACCACGGCATTGTATCTTCCCTCCTGCGCTTCCTGCAGAACTCGGAAAATGATCTATGCTCCAGGATCCTTCGATGGCAGGTCAAGCCCGTCGCAGCAAGGTTGAGCACCAGAAGCGAGTGCCTAACCGGCTTACCATGCTCGAAAACATTCTGCACGTGCACAGGGTATGAAGAAATTTGCACCCCAACCCCCTTTGGGAACAAAGAACAGCGCTTTGCTTGTCATGAAACAATTCTTGCAGAAGCTGTTGATACCAACTTGATCCAACTTTCGTGGCCTCCTCAAGTATGGCTTTGCAGCAAGCAGCGCAGTGCTCTGTCTCCTGAAACCACATGCAGAGAGCCTCGGTCGACCATGGAAAACTCAGAGCCAATTTTATGGCCTAAATAAGGTTGCGAACTCTCGTGGTACACCCCCTGGGATACATGCAACTGTAGGTTGACAATTTGTTGCACCGTGAAGCAGGTCGACATTCTTTTGGAAGAGAATAACGTATATATATATATATATACACCATTGGAACCGAAACCCTTCGAAAAGTGAAGGCCCAACCAATAAAGTAGCCTCACTCAGAAGCAAATCACAGTGGCTGCCAACCTCCCATCTTAGTTCCTACCAACTACTTCAAGCAAGTGGGGGATATACAAAGTTATATCATTCACTATCATTCTATACTCTGCCAATCTCAGCCACTGTGCCTTCAAAATTCTATCCCTTGCCCTGCTGGCATGAGGCTGATCCTTCGGGAAAGCACAGCATCACAGTGCGAGCAACGGACTCCGGAGTCTTCCAAACAACACCTGGTACTGATGACAAAGAGTCGACCCTGGGCACAGCACCCTTCTAAAAAGGTGAGTATAGATCACCCAATTTTGAGGGAACCCACATTGTAAAATGTAACCCGCTAAAAGGGGGATTCAATTGAAATACGATGAAGTATATTCAAATAACAAAACTGCCAACTAGGGCAGACTATTCTGAATTTCAGGGGCAGGCTATCTGAGCGTCTGGAAGATCTGGAAGGATGCAAAAAAAATAGCAACATCGACAATGATTCCGATGAATTATGATACTCTATGGTTGTGAAAATGATAAGTTTTTATGATCAATAATGATAATGATGATAATGATTCTGATAATCTACAGTATAACTTAACTCACTCTGGATTTGAGCAATACAACTGCAGTTCACATGGTCAGGATTCATCCCACCTGGAATCATCCTCGCAGCTGGACTTCGCGCAATTGCTGAACCTCTCAGCAGCATTTCCTTAGCGTTGCGACAAAGCGACATGTCTTGCTTCATCTTGCTGAGTCTGCTGACTGTGTATTTTGTCACAACAAACCACACGGTCACAGCATGTCACGCGAATAAGTGGAGGACAAGGAAGGACAAATCGAAGACAGTTCGATTGTCGCTGACCTCAGTCCCAAAGAGCATGGATAGAACTCTGAGCAAGCACTGGTGCCATGGACAATGGTCAGTGTGTGAGTTTATCTCATCTCCATGCGGTCCATGCACATTCTGATTCCATTCACCTGTGCATCAGGGGAATTCTGGGCAAGTCAAGCCTGTGACTTGCTGGATATGATTGTCTGGGCTGCCAAACCCCAAAAAATGATGACAAATCGCCATTGGCCTGCAACAGATGAAGTATACGGTGCTGTTTGATTTTTGCCTCAAGAAAGGAACTCCACACAATAATGCGCAATAATGCAAAAAGGAATGAAGTTATCTATGTCCATACCCAACTCCTGCTTGTTTGAAGAAAGTCTCATTGCTTTCAAACGCCTTGTTTGCCCTTAGCTTCATTGTCAAGGAGGCTGATTCAACTTTGATGTAACATTTCTCAAATCTTGGCTCGTGATATCACCAGCCTCCTCCATTGGGCCCAGAAGCAAAGAGCCACTCTCCAAAGCCAAACGTTGAGGATCAAAATTGCCCTCGCTGCTTAGCACCAACACCTCAAGATTCAATAAACATGTGATAGAACCAATCCTGTTCATCCCCAGCAACACCAGTGCTTGTTGATCAAAGTTCCTTTATCCGGGAACGGCCGCTATTCGCGAATAAAAAATATTTTGCGAACTCTATGTTTGTCTTTCGCGGAACGCATGTTGAGCAACAACTCCTCTTAAGACGATTCATTCATCACCTGCCAAATCACACAAAATTGTCACGGATAACTTCTTCACAGCCTTGTAAGCATGCAGCTAGCATCACGGAATCCCCTTCTCAGGACAAGTTGTTGCTGATTAGGTTTTTTTTGCAGAGCTTACTGGGCCACTCCCTTCAAAATGCACTTTGACTTTCGCCCACTCTTTCGCAGAACTTTCGCGGAACTTTCGCGAAAATACCCCTATCCGCAGACCCCAGCCATCAGCAGGGGGCGCATCAAAGGAAAAGCAAACACCAGGGTCCTTCGCGTTTGGCCCTCGCAAAGCCTCACTTTTGGAAGCTTGGATGCTGCGTTTGGAGCTTGTTTCTTGAGACTTCAGAAAGCAACGTTAGGCAGTACCAGCGGCAGGTGCAAGGAGGTGCTTGAAGACCTATGAAGCGGTGCCATTCTCCTGCCGGACCCCGGGCGGCAGGAGGTGGTAGCCCTTAACAAGCTGTAATGTATACAATGATAATGATTCATAATATCCAACTTTCGCGAAATAGAATTTTTATAAAATTTTCCTTTCGCGAACTCGAAAAAAAACTTCCGCGAGGGTTTCCAGCATAACATGCACGGCTTTCGCAATTAAAACTTCTTACATGGACCTTTAGGTCGATTGCCGTATTGAGACACCAAAGGTTGCAAAAATCGAAAGCGTGCAACCTGTTCAGAACGCTGCCTGCAGCAACCCAAATCTGTTGTTAGAACATGTTAGAACCGAGTATTCCAAATCAGTGCTGTATACAGTATACAGTGCAAACAGTGCAATCAAAGCATGAAAAAGTTGTACAGTACTGCAAAATTACATAAAATTACTGTACAGTACTGTACATGAGTATACATTTGGCCTGCTTTGTCAAAATCATCGGAAGCCCACCCAGCAGCCAGATGCAGCCAAATCACAATCATGTCATTGTTCGATTTGACGTGAGGCGCCTGTCAGTAACGAATCAAGCAGTTTAAATGTGAAAGAAACGATAATCAAGAATCATAGTGAATAGTGACAAACAACGACAGCTGTGCAGGCTGCGCATCAACATCTTTCACGAAACGAGGCTGGGACTTGCCCAATAAACGCACAAATGTGTCGGCACTGTACAACAAATGATCGCAGTATGTGCTGAGATGTGCTGAGATGTGCTGAGATGTGCTCAGTCTGCCAGTGCAGTCTGGAAAACACCTGTACAGCCTAAACAAGGCTTGAAGAGAATCAAATCAAAAATCATGCAGGTTGAATTCTGCGGTCTTCAGCAGCGCGCAAGAAAATGCACCGGCAAGCAATTTGGATGTTGCCCTCAAGCGCAGCTGCATCAAACAAATTATATGCTCACATGAACGACTTTGGGACAAGCAGGCTACAGCGCTACAGCTGTCTAAGGCATAGTATGGCACAGCGAATACACATACGACTTTACACCTCTACAACCACTTCAGCCAAGCACTGGAAGATACTGGAAGATCCTGTACGCCTTCAAGCAATCCAGCTGCGGCAGCTTTGGGAGAGTCTCATCAGAAATGGGCAATGTCTGGACTCAGCTCCTTGATGCACTTGGGTCTCAGGCATGAACAGCGACAAGACGAAGGACACCATCCCCACCACCGCCAAGGACAGGAAGGCTACAGCAAAACCCAGGCGGTTGGCCAAAATGCCAGCCAGCTCTGAGCTAAAGATGGCACCCACACTGAAAGATGCCTGTGGCCAAGCATGGCCAAGCACAAGAAACATGGACCATATGGAACTCATTGAACTTTAAAAGGAACACATTTTGCAGCTGAACGAAAATGAACGAAACATAGCGAGATGACAACAACAAACATTTCGGAGATGGCACTTAGCGCAATGTGTTCCAAGTTGCGACCATACACCTCTGCAGCCTTTCACTACAATTTACAAGTAAAATTTCCTCTCTGCGAATCCTTGCATAGCCATTCCCTGCCTGCAAGCAGCCCAATGCCAAGCTGAAGCAACCAGTGTTCTCCGAAACGTCCTTTGCCATCAGCACCATTAGCACACCCCAAAGTCCGGCACAAACACCATCCAGAGTCTCGCAGGGCAACAAGGACAACCAAGGAGAGCCACCTGGCTGGGTCCACCAAACATCGGTGGCAGCTGTCAGCAAAGCACGGATGGTGACGGTGAGGCAAGCAATCAGAACCAGAGGCTTGCGGCCAAAGTCTGCCAGTCGTCCGGCTACCACAGAAGCCACCAACATCCCCAAGTGTGCAATGACTTGTGCCGCGCTGGTGAAATTGATTGCTTGACCAGGAATAAGTTTTGATGCCTCCTGCACCAGCAACTGCAATTGAGCCATGTTGGAAAAATTGAACAGGAAGCAAAGAGCATTCACAATGAAGAACTTGGAGGTCCATAGTCCCGAGGGACCCTTGTTGGTCGCTTCCGTTTCATGAGACTCCGTGGTTTCCATCCCAGAGGCCCGGTGGTAGTCGACCTTGTAGTGACGCACAATGGGGAGAGCCACAATGGTCAGCCCACAGGCTGCCATGGGGACGGAGCTCCACCATGGACTCTCCACGGTCTTCCCCCCTGAATGATCTTTGACCACGCTGGCCAGGAGGGCCATGGCCCCTGAGCTCAAGACAGTTCCCAAATGAAGGCCCACATTGTTGAGAGCCACCTGCAGGGTGAAATTCTCTGCTGCACCCAAAGTCAGAGAGTTCAACGCCAGAGGCACCAGGGTCATGGAAATTGCTGTGGGGATCTGCAAAGCCATCTCCAACCAGAAGAACTGTGGGACAAAGACTCCCATTGCAGCGCTGAGCAAAGCACATGCACTCCCCAAAGCAACCAGTCTGCGCTTGGCATGGCAAGCATCCACCAGGCAACCAAGGCAAGGTTGCAGAACTGCTACTACTACCTGCTGCATCGCGTTCAGTGCACCAAGCTCTCCTGGATTGTAAGTCCTCATGGAGTTGGCTGTCAACCAGGCACCTTCGTAAGGACCAAGGAGTTGAGCCGAAGCGAAGAACGACAGCAACACCAAGCCGATGCTCTCACGGCTGAGTCCGCAGACCAGGCAGGAAGCCCGGTGGAATGCAGCAACTGCACAGCAGCCGAAACGAGTTGTGAAGCTTTTGAAGAGCACCATCATCAACATCAAAGCCACCAGAGCAAGTCCAACTATCCATCCCCAGCTTGGTCCAATCGGCGGCAGCAATAAAACTCCAATGCAAGTGATCACAAGCGTTGGAATCAACGAGAACTTGCTGTAGCAAGTCGCGACAAAGCCGGTCTCTCCCTCACTTTCAGCTGTGTGAGCGACAATGAGATTTGCAGCACTTCCAAGCATGGTGAGATTCCCCGAGACGGTAGCCACCCACGCACAAACAGTCCAAATGCTGGCGACTGATTCAGCTGGCTGCGTAGCCAACAAAGGTTGGAGCATCAGAATCACTGGCACATTGCTGATGACATTGGAAAGGAGGAGGACAACACCTGAAAACCAGAGCATACAAAGTGGTCCTGCTGCCAAATCCTTTGCACATGGTCCTAAAATCCCGTGGAAGAGTCTCTGTGGCAAGCCAGTGTCTACTGTGGCACCCACCAAAATGAACTGGCCAATGAAGAGGATCAGGATTGAATAGTCAATGGCTCCCAAAGCAAATTGGGTTTCTGTATCCCCCGCATCCTTGGCCCCTGTGGCCCGACGTCGCAGGGCCCGGATGAACATCAGTGTGGAGCCAGCGGCGAGGGCCACGTCATCCGTGTTCATGTTGAACCTCGTCGTGGCAACGGTCTGATCCAACAGTAATTATCATATAATGGATATATCTAAAGAATTTAATAGATAGATGCTAGTAAAATCATGAACATATAATATATCATATAATTTCACATATTTATAATTTATATACATATTATATACAAAATGCTACAAACATAGGATCTATGTATATCATTGTATAGATGTGTATCCCATTCAAATTATTGTTCAGACTGGGTGGCAGATTTGTGATCCGTTACGACATGAAGATAGATTAGTTAAAGTTAATATCCCATTCAATATACTGTTCAGAGAGGGCCGCGGATTTGATCCTATGAAATTAAGTGGTGGGCGAACGTCCGGATTGCGGACAAACTGGTTCGAATGATCCCACGCACCGATTCTTTCCAAAAAGAGTATGTGGCTTTGCCTTCAGTGTTGAAGGCAACAAGTGCTCCTTCTTTCGTTGAAGGTATTGGGGTGGGCACCCCATTTTCTTTATAATTTCTTGGTGTTGATGTTTTGCTATTCACATATATATATATATATACATATATATATATATATATCAGATATTGTAAAAATCACAACCGGTGTCTCTTACACATGTAAGTTCAAAATCTGGGCTCCAGCCTCACCATCCTATTTTTTGTGTAGCATTTTGGCTCCAGCCTCACATACAGTTATTACAGGTTTACCTGCATAGACTTTCCGAACTAGGCAACCCTTCCACAATTCCAGGGCGGGCAAACCTCAGGGTTGCAGCGAACAGTTTCTATCGCATAGAATGCTGGGTGGTTTGCTTTTATTGTTGTTCGTGTGTGCCTAAACATACCTCTGAGGTTGAGGTTCTCTGAGTTTGTGGGGCAAACTCGTGGGGGGGTACTTTTAAATGTACACAAAGCACAATGGCAACCTTGGCTGTACTCCATCATGGAGTTCTCCATATTTATAAATCCAAATGCCATCAAAGCCAAATCTCACCTCTCTCACCCGTTGGCGCCAAGCCACATCCATCCGACAATCATAGCAAGCACCACTCCACCCACAGCCACTACATAGATTGCTTGAAGGCAACGATTTGTCTCAGGGAGAGCGACCTCTACATCACGAATCTCTGGCACTTCGGGATTCTCAAAGACAAGAGACTTTCGAAAGTAGCACCAAAGGGCCACCGTGTTCAGAAAGAGACCCAACAGCACCGGCAAGAGCATATCCTTCATGAAAGTCAAGAAACCCATTCCTGGACTGATTGATGCGATGAGAGCATTTTGGGGATTGCCAATGATGGTAAGGCTGCTCCCAATGTTTGAACTGGTGGCAACTGCCATCAAGAACGGCAAAGTGCTCTGTGCACCTCGGCGCCTGCAGAGATTCATCACTAAGGGTGTCAGCATCAAACAAGTGGTGTCATTGGTCAGCACCGCAGATGTGGCAGCCGACAAGCAGCACAAGTTCACCAGCATCTTTGTCGGGGAGGCAGTGTCCAAGAGCTCTTCCACGTACTTCCAAATGCCAGTGTCCTGCAAAGAACAAGTTTTCATCTTGGGTGGACATCCCAAACTGAATATTGAAACAATCCCTCCTTGTCCCCTTCACCTACTGTAGTGGATACCAAAGATATATAATATACATATATATATACGTATATTATCGTATATTATCGTATATAATATATATTATGTCATTATGAGTCAATTGAGCCTCACCGCACCTTCAGGTATGCGTTCACCAGCATGAGGCCAAAGAGCAAAGCGATGGGTGTAGGATTGATCTTCCCAAAGATGTCCACAGTTGGATAGTTTTCCTCAGGCCATGCCTTGTGACAAAGCTCTCTTAAGCCACAGGCCATGGCTGCAAAAACCATCGCAATGCATGGCCGACCCAAAGGAAGATGTTGTGGCCACATCAAAAGGCCCCAGGCCACGATGTAAATGGCCAAGTTTCCCCACACTGCCAGCGGTGGGAGCTTCAGAATGCCATTTTCCAAGTCCACCAGCTCAGTGGCAGCGAAACTATGCACAAATGCTTCTTGTCCCAACATGGGACCTGCTATGATCTGATCCACGAATCAGTTGCTATGCCAGCTTGGTCCCAAAAAGAGCTGAGGACATTCCCAGCGCTTGCAATGACTAACAGTTAGCTCAGGATGAAGCAACGCTAGCCACGCGCACACAAACAGCAATGAACCTTGATGAACCTATCAAGTTGAAACCAATGAAACCAGTCGTCTGCAGGCACCTGTGGCTCTGGAGCTGGCCGAAAGAAGGATTCCTGAAGAAAATCCACGATGCAGGCTGGGAATGAGTGCTATGATGGCCTGGCCCAAAGTCAACCTTTTGAAACAGGTTGTTCCAGCCACTACAGTAAAGGCTCAACCAGCCACTAGGGCTACAGTAAAGGCTCAACCACGGAACAGGATGGTCGGTTTCTGTCTCTGGCGCTTTGGATCCCCACAGCTTCAGGCTCAGTTTCATCAGCCTGTCACTGACATTTCCCTGTGTGGTATCTGGCTGCTTGCAGCCTTAGCTACCAGCAGGATATTGTAGACTCGTAGACTATCTTTTATCCCTAGCGCATTACGTTGCAGGACATGGCTTTCGCACAAATCGGAAGCCTCCACAGGGCGTTTGTTGGCTTCATGTGCTACAGGACCAGGATGTTTCTCCTGAGATGCATCGACTCTAAAGCTTCCGCTTCCCAGAATTTAACATATTATATATGCATTATCTTATCTATTGTTATATTAACTATCATTAACTATAGTTCATATTATCTTCATCATTCTTTATCTATATGTCCAATAGATTCCAATAGTCAGAACATGTTTCTTTTGGATGTATTATTGGATGTATTTGGGGTATGGCTATGGTCATCCATCCCATAATGGAATCCTGAACATGGGATTTGGTATCGAATGGTATGGATGATCTATATACATCGATTTAAATTTATATATACATCTGTATATTACTACGTATATATAATATAATATATATATATACACACACACTGAATTTCCTTTCTCTGCTTATGTGCCAAATTTATCGCTCAATCTTCAGTGAAGCCCTGCAGATCAACGCTAGCATCGGTGCATCCCTTCCTCCGGTGGAGCACATGGGCCACATGGGCCACATGGGGCTGGTCTGAAGATGGCATCCTGCAGCACAGCCTCGGGGCCATTTAACGATCTGGGCCTTGGCTGCAAGATATGATCAAACATCGCACATCTTTGGACAACATGCAAGAAATTATGACTCCTTGAATCTGTCACAGCTCTTTCATGCAATCCCTCTGTTTCTGAAAACAAGGTGCGAAGAGATTGGAGACTCTTCTTCGCTGCCTCACTGCAGAGAGTTGCTGACAGCTTCGGGCTGAGCTACTGGTGGTATCTGGTGGTGACAATGGTGACAGTGGATACATGTTCAAACATGTTCAAACATTTTCAAACATGTTCATTCATGTTCAAACAGTTGATTCTTGTCACTAGTGTATTACCGTCAGAGTATGTCAGAGTCAAGGCTTCCTGAATGAGTATCTCTTCAACATTCTGCGCACTAGTGCGTCCTCACGAGTGATCCAAGTGATCGCTTTGGTTTGGCCCTGTGTATGACTTGAGATGACTTGAGACATCATATCCTATCTCCGTCGATTTCTCTTGGTCAAAGCACCGCTCAATTCTGCCATAGCCGCCCAAGGGCTTGAGTGCCTCACACCGTCCGAGATTACATACAGAGTCATACAGTAACTCGTCTGACTCGTCAACTACAGTACTCCCCGGCTTCGCTATGCTTCGCTACAGTATGTTCCTCTGGCTTCCGCCTGCCCGGTGTCTTTGGGGTAGGTCCACTCTGCTCTGGAGCCTCTGCAATCCGGTGTGCGAAGTACAGCGGGACACGCTTTTTGCCCTGCTTGTTGGCGACTTACATCTTCGGCCACATTCTCAAGACAACCAAATGCCCCACTGAACCCAACTACACCCCCTGAGCTCAGTAACTCTTGTGACATGTAGAAATAAAAAACACAGACTGACACTACAAGTAATTAATTATTAGAAACTGTGATTGACTCAACACAATCCCCAATCTGAGACGTTCGCTCTCTCAGGTGGTCTTCGTGGAAGTGGTCGCAACTTGTTTTCCACCTATCGAGAACCCGATGACACATTTTTACTGAAGGATGCTAGAAATCATTCACTGCCACTGCACCATCCGGATTTTTTTGTGAAAAAACAATGTCTTCTGGCAAACAGGCGTAAATATTGCGAAGCGTCACTTTTTGAGTTTGTCGAATTTGGATGGATTTGGTGCATCTTGGAACAAGTAGGGGTGCCATGATTTGCTCAATGGTTCCCTGTAGTTCCCTTCTTGCATATGACCTAGTCAGTCACCTTCCTTTTTTATCCTTTTTTGGCATACATCGCCCTGTATAAAATTGGCTAATGCCGAGTACACGGGCTTCAGTACAAGTCAGTTTGCAAGGCCACCAAGGATATTAAAGACATAGTGTCAGGCAAGCAAAGGTGAAGCCAAAGGTTTTGAAAACGAAACGGCGATTTTGGCCGTCCAAATGGCGATGTTTAGCGTCCATTGGGTGATTTTAGCGTTCCTTGTTTGACTGTGTCTTCTACAAGCCTCAAATGACTAAGAGAAACACACATGACCCTATTCAGTCACGTGGCATTTGAGACAAACAAATACTTAGACAAAGAGAAACTAATTTAGAAAGACGTATTTGCAATGGGCGTTGTATTATGATCTAGAAATTATTCACTAAGTTCGCTGGCATTCGTCGCGATTCTTGTCTTTCAGCTTTGGATTTAATCTTTGGAGAGGGCGGGAAATAGATATAGATTGTTTTTCCTGAGACATTTTAGAGAGTAATTTGAATCGGCAGTTTTTGCCTGAATCGTGAATTCTTCTGCAAATCGTCCAATATTGTTGCAGTTTGGCAAAACCTTGCAAACAAATGCCTTTTGGATGTCTCAGTTTGTAGTGCATCAACTTGTATCCATGTGATACAGTAGCATGCGCGTCTCATCAGTCACTGGGCCCTTTTTGTATGGCATCTGGAAAGACCTGAATGCACATCTGCGGACCTCCTGCAGCTTTCTGCGCAGTTCACTGGCAACCAGGTGCACTGTCTTGGTGACACACCTTCGCGAGGACCGTGTTGCTGGAGTGTTGGCTCTGGTGAGCTTTGACGTCCAAAATGCCAGCACAACCCTCTACACAGGAATTTGACTCGTGGCATTCAACATGCAATGGAACACTACCAGCAAAGAAGGGCCTTTATGTTAAGCTGATCGTCTCGTGAATTCACAGACATGGTCTGGTATGTGGTCTTAAATGGATGCTCTGGATCCAGCCTGAAAAACTCCTCTTTGGTCACCACTGGGACGTTTGCTTCCAGGGTGCCAGTCACCGCAAAGGCCTTTTCAAGACTTCAGGTGGAGCTTCCACTGCCACATGGCCATGCTTTGTGCAACTGCTCCAATTAAAAACGGCCCAAAAGTCTATCAAAGTCCTGGAAAAAATCCATGGCAGATCTGCAAAGTTTCTTTCTCTTCCTTAAAGTCCTGCTGTTTCTGGGCCCAACCTCAATGGCTTCCCATGTCAACCTGATGCGCGGCTAAAAAAAAGCAGTGGAGATTTCGTCATCCACATTTTTCATCTCGGAGTCTTGATCCACTATAGTTATATCCAATATTGGATAACCCGAAATTGACTATTGTATATATATTCTTCTGTAGTTATCCAATATCTTTTGGCTTCACCCCCTGGCGAGCAGCTCAGTTGAGCCCAAAGAATGTGCGAAGGTCCACAGCAATCGCCGCAGCTCTACTCGCCTGTCGTAAAATGCAACAATGCAACAAAGTCATGGCGAGGGACATCTTGAAAGACCATGGCAAATACTGCCTTTGATATCATTTGATATCATTTGATGTCACTCCAATGATCTCCAATGTTGGAATTCCAAACTATAGACTATAGATAATTAATTAATGATAATTATATAGAATGAATGTACTGAACACAATCCACAAATCGCGCCAACCTCATTGTCCCATGGGCATCCAGCCCAGCTCTGCGAAAGTGTGCATCACACCTGTGACACTGTGGGAACATGTGGAAACGACTAACTCTAGGAGACTGAAGGTGTAAAGATCACCTGATCCATTGATATCCATTGCTCCCCAAAAATCAGGTGCAGACTCCCGCTGTAGGGTCTCTGTATCGAGCAACAGCTTCTCGACTTTCGCCAAAGACCTAGCAAATTGTCACGTCAAACACCAATGACACAAAATTGTTTGCAAGATCTGTGCGGGACCTGCTGAATGTGGCCAGAAATCAGCACGCACAACATAAATTAAATAAATATATAATAAGTAAGTACTACCGTTTCATTACTAGTATTACTAGTAGTAATAACCATGCCATAATGATTAAAATATGACGACATAATATGACGACAATACTAACCAAACAAATATCAAAACATAATACTCTCTGTCGAAGTTCTGAGTCGTTCAGTGGGCTGTAACATCTGTAACCTTGCTGCTAAGCCACACCGCGAGCTGCTGTGGATCTTGAGAGCCATTGTCACCCTTCACCCGTGTCACGCAGGGGGCGAAAGCTGCGGCCTCGCCATCGAAAAACATCTAGGTTCCGAAAGCATGAGAATTCAACAGAAGTCAAATGTCTAAAAAGGAATAAAATGAATAAGCAAAACATAGAACAATGTGCTCTCAGTCTGCGATTGCTTAATCTTCAAGTTTTTCCGCTTCTCGGGAACAAGTGAAGCAGCAACTCGCGGCCTGCCCCATTTCTCAGCGAACCATGGAAGCACCTTTTGAACATATCATGGCTTGTGCGATTTCTCCATCTGATTGGCTGTTCCGATATGTTCCAATGACTTGACTGGATGTTTCTTATATTTAAGCAAGTCATCGCGGTGCATTCGAGTTTCTCTGACAAATTGCTGTCTGATTTTCTTCATTCTACACGGTCTTTCCAAGCAATCTTGACTTTATCACTTCTCGTCAATTGTGCCGGAACTGCATGTGTTTGTTCTTAATTCGAGCCTCTGGCTACCAGGATAGGCCAGGTGAGATGCAAGAAAAAGGATGGAAAAGGTGCCAAACATGATTAGCAAATATTAGCAGCCACAAGCAGCTGCAACATGATGATTTCATGATGCAACGATTGCAACGATTGCAGCGGCTTCAAGTCATGACAGTTCTGGAATGCGGAACTCCAGTGCCTGCATCTCTGGTATACTGCTGCGCATGCGAGCGTCTTCCTTGCAGCATCTCCCAGCTGGAAGGAACATGCGAAAAGGCGCGAAAAGGTGATGCCGACTCTGTTTTGTTTGAAGCTTCAAAGGTGCGATTGTTCAAGATAGCCTTGACTGCAAGCGACTTTGCTTTGAACCCCGTCCTCCGCATACGCCTGAATCATCCTCTCACGCCGTTGCATCCAAAAGTAGCCAACAACCTCATGAAACAATACAGAACATGCCCCGCCGGACTATGAATGTCTGAACAGAAAGGCTGATTAGTGTTACCTTTGACGTGGATAGCATAGAGGAACAACTGCGAACTACTATGAACGTATTGAGAGAGCAAAAGAAGTGAACATATAATATCATATAATTATAATTATACAAAATTAATGAAAATAGTATACAACATATACAAGAATCTTTCTGCAAGTAAGTGCATTGGGCAATTACTCTAAGGTGAATGGATGTGAAAGGCAACTGCAAGGGATTGGATCTTGTGTCAAGGTCCCAAACACGGCGCCACTTACAATAGTGAGCTGCAAGTAGATCCATTACATCCCATGACCTTACCAAGAACCACCAAGAATACACAGCTTTTATCTGCTTTTCACCTAAGGAACCTAAGGAAATTGATGGCAAACCATGGCAAACCCAGATCATCCCAGATTTCAGCGTCCACACCCCCATAACCACCAAGAGGAGAAGGAAAATGATGGCTACTGTTGCACCGCCGCCTGGACAGCTGATTGACTGATATTGACTGAGTGGTAATGACTGAATCATACCAAAGAGGTCCAAAGAGTAAAATCATGTTGGAAGGAAAGAACGGACCAAAGAATCAAGGAGTCATTGAAGTCATCCGGATTGATCATTCCGCTTCGCTCACCCTCCAGATCCTCCAGATTCCTCCAGCATCTCTGACCTCCTTCCTCTTCTGTTTTAGCCGCGGTGGCCTCAATTGCACTTCACATTTTGCTCATCGTCCCTTTGTGCACTTCATATCGATGCTCCCCATGATGCGCTATCAAAATCCTTGGCCATCTTGGCCAAATGGGAGCTGACATTCGTATCATTCATCAAAACAGGCCACTCAATGGAATTCAATACCCATAGGATCCATGTATGCCATATATGGTAACATTTACCATTAATATACCATACATGGATCCTATGGGATACATTCAATGGACTAGTCGAATTCTGCATGACATCGAGCCTCGAAAGCTGCGAGTGGCCAAGCCCTCGGTCTTGACCATCCGACCAGAACATGTTATATATATATATATATGTTATGTAAAATTACATATTGATGTTAATTAATGTTAATTTATATAATGTAATGATATGTAATATAATTAATTGACATTATATATAATGACATCAAATTTCTATATCAACCTGCAATAATTAAGGTACCAAAATGTACCAAATGGACCGCACAGATCTCTCACTTCGACACTTCTGAGACTGGTGCAACTCTGACAGTGTTCCTCGCAATGCGTTCATCACCTTACGTGCTATGATCATGTTGCCATCATCGATGCAACAAATTTCACATGTCAATTCTTCAATGACACGAAATACTGTGGTTTGGACGACTTCTGGCATTGCCTTCACCTGAACACGAGTTGCAATTTATGTGCGGAAGCCGAACCTGCAAAAACAGATTGACAAAACATGACAAAATCGTACACAATCGTGCAAAATTGTTTGGTTTCGAAATTATGTCGTGCCCTGAGTGTCACAGCGCGCCTGAAGCTCACCGAACGGACCCACTGTTGGAAAGAGCAAATCAAATCGAGTTTGCACTTGTGGTCGATTGGTTTGCTTACTGGGTCATATGTGAACATCAGGAAAATTGCCATGGTGTAAGCAGCAACTGTTTGATGTTCAATGTCCATTCAAACTGGTCGGATGCTGAAAATGGCACCGGAACGCACCGGACACTCTCGTGATTTTTGTTCCGCCCTGCCCCCCCTCCCCAACATGTTCATTCTCAAAAGCCGTGAGTCGCTTACAACAAATCACACCTTTGATCACATGTCTTATCCGTAATGTATATAATTACTTATAATCCGTTCTTTTGCTCTACATGTACCCTTTTCCGAAGCACGCAGTGATATCCGTTGCCCAAGTTTGCAAGAAATCATAGAAATCAACAAATATAATTAAAAAAATAAGAAAAAATAGAAAAAAATAAGAACAAGGGAAGGCAGCTCACACATTTTGCACCCCTACGGTTCTTGTTCGGGCTCCCCTGCAGCCCAAGCAGTTGCCAGACCAGGACATTCAGTGAAAAAAAAGTTGGCTGCGTCAGTCAGAGGATGATTCAATTTAATGCGCCTGCTCTGCAATTTGAGCATTCAGTGCACGAATCACGGCATCTTCCTCAGCTAGAGGCTTCACAGCAAACACTGTCAAACATGTCAAACTATGTCACAATGTCACTGCAAGTTCTCACAGGGTTGTATGTTTGATAATGTTTGCATCATTTTGCATCAATTACATCCACCTAGCCCAGATATGCCCAGATCCACTACCAAGATTTGCCGAGCAGCCTCTGTGTAGAGTCCAGTCGCAAGTAATTCGCCCTTCTGCTTCTGCAGCCAGTCAAGGGTAAAGTGCTGTGACGCATTTGACGCAGCGTTGCAGTGCCCATCGCTTTGGCGATCGACAGAATTTCCTGAAGGTGCCGCGTCCTTTGAGGCGCCGGTTTGCTTGAAACATTGCACCTCAGACTTTTGAATCTGCTCCTCCTTTTCCAACAATTTTCGGCAAAGTTCTTCCACCTTCCGTCGGAAATGATCTCTCGAAGCAGCCAAAGTCTCGCACTTTACCCTTTCCTCACACATCTGCAGCTGCAATTTTTGAAGTTCTTCCTGAACTAGGTTTGAGGCTGATGCAAAGCGTTTCTCTTGCAACTCTACCTCTTCAACGGCTTGTTTTGCCAAGGTGGATTGCAGCTCAGAACACCGAACTCGAGTCTCGGAAATTTCAGCCTCCAACTCTTTGATCCGGTTTTCAAGTTGAGTTTGACGCATCATTTCGAAATCATGCGACTGTTTTGCTTCAGCCTTTTGGCGACGCATGGAGTCCTCACAGCTCTGGATGGCCAGGTCAGCAGACCTCCGCGCTTCTTCGCTGAGACTTTTGGTCTTGGCCATTTCCGACTTCACCGAGGCCTCGCGCTGCTGCATCTCCAGCAACTTTCGTTTGGCACGTTGTTCCAAGTCTCTCAGCTCGGCCTGTTGATGTCGAAAGCTTTGAGCTCGTTGCAACTCACGTTGTCGGTACTCCTCCTCCAAACGTTCTCTCATCTCTCGCTCTTTTTCCTGTAAACGAACCACTGCACGTTCTTCCTCCTGCTGTCGCCAAAGTTCCAGTGACCGAGCGACTGCATAGGCAGGACTTGATCTCAGAAGCTTCAACCCTTCCAGTGCAAGTTCTTCAATGTCGAGGTCTTCAGCGTTTTCTGCATCCCCAGGGCTGCCAATGGCCATGTCTGTGGAGTATTCTCTGTCTTATCTTATGAAGTGAAACATTTGTCGAGTGCTTCAACTTCCAACTTCAATAGTATCTGTTGCTGTTGGCTCCTAATTTCGATTCGAGACAGGTATTCTACGCAACAGAAACCGCAAAGCTGCTAAAGCTTCCTAAGCTGTTGCCGTTGCTTCGTGGGAGTCGTGAACTCAAGCCTTAAGCAAGCTGCTTGTTGGATCTTGCTGGTAGGTTTGGATAGATTTGGTAGCTTTCTAGTTTGACCACTTTTCACCATGTGTGTATTATTTTGCAGCTTTGTGCCTGCGTGCGTCCTCCCATTTGAGAACTTTGAGGGCCGCTTGCTTCGAGCCCTAGATATCATGACCAGAGCGGGAGGACCATGGAGGACCAAACGCTGGTGAGGGCGACTCTCCCACGATTTGCGGTTTAAGTGGGTGTCTATGAACGGCTATGAATTTGAGAACCCACCAATGCAAAGCATTCATCTGAAATAGTTCAGGTGTGGCTATGGTTGGCCCGTCAGCAGGCAGAGCTCAAACATTTTCCGCCCCAATGGGCGCTGAGTCTATTTTTGTTACCTTGGTGGGTGGAAGGATGCAGTAGGTTTCAGGCTATGCAGCACGATGCTGCATGCTGTGCAGCTGGTGCAGGGTCATGGTGCAAGCTTCGGGACTCTGGCACACCTATTGTTCTTAAGGCGCCCAGGGACTTTTCGGCGACTCGTAGTTCAAAGAACTCCAGCTGGGAATCTGCAAAACATACCTACCAAATTGAGAGCTGGAACTCTGCTAGATCAGTCGGTGCTTAGATGGATAACAAAATAAAGTAAACGAAGATAAACGAAGTAACTCTTCACCAGATCGATTTGACCACTCAGGTCAGGCCTGCACACCAGGTCTCCATTCGCAGGGCCTGAGGACCGTTTCCAAGAAGGGTCCTACAAACCCGGTGAGTACTTTGTTGACTTATGGGATCTTATGGCCTTATGGGTATGGAGGGGTTTTCAGATGGCAAAACATGCTGCATCACCAACCTGGAGCCAAGTTGCTCATGCGGTTTCAGTCGCACACCACCCAGAAAGGTGCCATGCGCTGAGCCAAGATCCTGCTGCCAAGCAAACAGAATGAGTCTTTTACGAATACTCGTAAATATTAGCCGATACAAAAGCAACTTTGAATAACTTTGATCATTCGTGCTTGGAAGGCAATGTTCATATATTTTCTCACGGTATCTCACGGTTTCATTTTTTGATTTGGGGCAATATCTGGCACATCCGATATCCGATGATCTTATGAGGTCCTGGAGGAAGATCTTTCCAGTCCAGTTCTGCAAGACCAAAGCGTGTGCTTTCGACCTGCCATAGCATGGGGAAGTGGCTCGGTATGGCATGGGTACAATTGGCACAAGTAGTCAAGTAATTTGACCGAATCTGACAAACTGAAATCCAACTCTTCAACAAATTTTGCTAAACTTTGACAAGTGCATGCAAGTGCCATGCTCAATCAGAATGCCATCGTGATCCAAACGAGTCTGCTGGGCGACAAAGGGCATGCAAGGCCAATGTCTGGCCTTATCCAAAGAACATGCAGGGAGTGGTGTTGCCAATCCAAAGTGAACAGCAACACGATTGGTGCCCATGAAAACTGGCAAACTCCATCCAACAAATCAATTCGTACCTGACCCCACGACATCCCGACACTCAAGGTGGGAGGACATGTTCCATGGCAAAATATCGAAACTGTGGCAACTGGAGTCAGTGACGGGTCCTGAAATGCAATCTGGAGTCATTGGGATGTATAAAATGGGTGTGTCTCAAGATAGGGGGTACTAGAAAGTTGCTATTTCAATGGGAAAATACAGAGGTAAACCATAGTAAAGCTGTTTTTTCGTCTGGGCTTCTCAATTTTGAAACAACATATCCACCATATCCTCATGACTCAGCATCTGACTCCGGTACACCAGCTCTTCTTGCCTCTGCCGCCTGCGCTTCGTGCAGCCTGGTCGTCCCACGATGTCACCAACAGCACTTGCTAAAGAAGTTGGCCTAGCACCCAGAGAATAGGAAATCAGCAAATCACTGTGAGACTCGATTTCTCTTTATTTCTGATATTTCAGTATATACTATTCAGATCTATTCAGTACTCTTAGTCATCAGGCACAACCCCCTTTCCAGGCCCCAACAACCAGGTTTGATGGCGGCACAGTCTTTTTTTATTGGCTCCTTCGTCCCAGCAAAGCCCACGACCGACCTCAGCAGGATCTGGCTCCCTATGCTTGCACTACTTAGGCTGTCCTCATTGGTATATTCTGCTATAATATTTATAAATATATATATATATATATTATATATATGTATGTATATACGTATTACGTAAACGTATATATAAAAGCAACACAAAAGCAACTATTGCTTTAGTTGAACCCCAAGCCCCAAGTCATCCAAAATCACATCACAATGCCAACCTGCACAGGAATCACAACACAAACCCACGAGGTTCGAACGCCCGAGCTGTAGTCGCTTGGGTGGTCCAGCTGAACCGGACACAACGCGAACCTATCCGAATTAAGACACAGGTGCCCTGGGATTGAAGATGATTGAAGAATATTGAAGAGTTTGAGTCGGATCGAATATATTTCAGATATTTGGAATTATTTGAAGACCGTTTTAGCTGAATCCTGATCCAATGTGATCCGTCTTATTCTTCATTGCTGTTCTGCTCGAAAATTGCTGCCACAAAGCTCCTGAAACATCGCCCCCAATTCCTCCGAAAAAGACTCTGTGCTGGCATGAGGTCAAAGAACCTGTCCTACATTCAAATGGGCTAGCTGCTAGCTCTACCAAAAAGTATGCACGCAACCTTGGATTTCATCAAATTTCCCTGCTCCAGCGCCCGTAAGGTCAAGGCAATATTAAATACAGTTTCCTGGCAGTGCAACTTGGCAGTCCACACTAACAAGACAGCCATATCAACAGCTGACGGCCAATCCCGCCAGGCTCTCCACATCACGCGGGTTTGGCATGACGCACCTCAGGCATAACAAAAGAACAACACGGAGGACCATGATTATCATTATTTTAAGTTTTATTCATTTATACGGTATAATATATATATATATAATCAATGAAATAGCGTTATTTTGTACTGGTTTGTCATATTATGTAATGTTTTATGCATGAGCATTGCATTTCTGATGGACATATTAATGCAGGCAATATGCAGTCATTAGAAATGTCCGTCGCATTGTACAACAAATGGAATCCCTATGAACGCAACTTCAATTAGCACACATCCACTTTTTGTTCTTGCACTCGGCGTCACAACCTGCGCATTCCAACCATCTTGGAAGCCAATGGGTGTGCTGACTCAATCGTGTGATTAAAATCACGCCACCAGTGGCAACAGGCTGCCAGCTTCACATCTGACATATGCGGAATAAGGTTCAAGGGAAACTCACCCACAAAGTAACACTGGGAGAAGTCGAGAAGTCTACTTACCTAAGGATCCTAAGGTATGACATGGAGTAGCCTCAATGGAAACGTTCGGAGATGCAAAAATGCTGGCTGGGCAAACCCAAAATGTGGCATTGGGTCACAAAAAACCACAGAATCCTCACCAAACTGCCCCTGATACAATGCTGAAGCGAAAGGTCGAGGCATTCTCCTACCAAAGCTTGCACTCGCGGGGGCGAGGGCATGGGTCACCTAAAGATCTCAGCTTCAGGATGGAACCATGCTCAAATATATATACAAACCCCACGAACTGCTGCTGGACAGGCAATGCATCGTCACTGCTTTCTATTTCTATGCTTTATCAACCAGCTATGTAGTCTGCAGCGGCCAAGACAATCTGACATCAATAAGAATCTGCCTTCAGGATTTAACACATTCTAGTAGCATAACTGGACTTAGTGACTATACCTGAGAGGATTAATCTTGGCTTCGTTGAATGTTGCTTTCATGCCACACTCACCTAGAATCTTTTAAGCTGTACTGGCCATACTCTTGTGACAAAGCAATTTGGATCAATTGGCCCCTGCATGTGGCAAGGTGCAGCTGTACAAAGTTGATCAAAGTTGGGCAGTTTGCAAAAGCTCAGGAAACTCTCTGGAACTTCACTCTGGAACTTCACTCTGATCTGCTCTGGGTCATTCTGGGTCAGAGTTCGTAGTATTTCGTGGTGGTCGTGTGCGACCGCAGTGGCTATCAAGCTAAGCTCCATCCATCAGAGAGCTCTCGGAGCCATCGGGAACAAGACCTCGCGCCAAACCGAAGGGCCAGCAGTCCACAACGCTGCTCCATGTTGACCGGTGCTCGAAACGACCGATGGAATAGTATCATACATAAACTTAAGACTCTAGACTTATACCTAGGTGTTGTGAAATCCAAGCAGGACTTACTGTAGGTGTCGTGAAATCCAAGCAAATACAAGATAAAACATAAGCACAAAAGAGGTGATGGCCCTTGAATCCAACTTTGAGAACCCTACTGACCCTACTAATATAGTTACAGCCATACGGTATGCCATACAGTCATTCAACCCAGCTGATCAGTCTCTCCCCCTCCGGTCGCGTCATCTGCTCATCCTGCCTCCCCTTTGGACCTGGTTGGCAACGGCTCGTTTCACTGCCCGTGCCTGCGGATTCGCGGTCGAAATTGGCAGGATCTAGGCTACTAGGAGGTGTCTCAACTTTCTCGACCTTAGGCCCTGACATGCCTTGACAGCCCAACTCTCCCAAGAAAAGGTCATGCTCGAAGGGGCAGTAGCACGGTTGACATCCAACATCATCCAACCTAGTGAGGCGAGCCTTGCGTTGACCACTCCTCTTCTGCCGCCGGGCTGTGTCTTCTGAGCCTTGGTTGCTGCATTGTGATCCAGGAATGTTCCCCCTAACCTCGACCTCCAGTACGAGTATCATCTACGGTCTGCCTTTCAATCAAACTCTCGGGATCTCAAAAAAAAACATGCAATGTTGCTCAGCTGCACAAATGACAGAATGAGCAGGAATTTCCGCGTCGGCATCCATCTTCCTGATCCACAGGAAAAACCATTGGTGGAGGCATCAAACCTGATGAATCCTGATGATCCTAATGTAAGGCAGGTTCGCAATGCCCACCACCAGGTATTGCAAGTGAATGTAGTGGCGTACTTTTGCCCTTCTGATCTTTTTTTGATCTCACCCCCGCGCCCAACTCTGCCACCTGTAGAGTCTTGAGTGCGACACCCTCATCCGAAGTCGTTTAAATGCATACAAATGCCAAAACATCCATAAACCTCTTGTCACTTGTCGTAGGTTGAATGACACTGTTCCTTGAAAAAGAAGAAGCTACATGGTTTGCAGTTGCCGGCGGCATGGGCCACAAGCTGCTCTCCCATACCTCGGCGCCGGGTCGGCTGGAACCAGTGGAAAATTATGGAAGTATTGGCTTGGCCAAACATGGCCAAACCTCTTGGAGTACTAGATGTACTAGGTCAGACTAGGTCCCTTGCCCTTCAGGTTCGCAGAGAAAGTCACCTGGCTTTTCCAGCATCATGTTGGCATTAAAGGATCCATCGCTTCTGGGTTTATGATTGAAATCTATCAACCATTATCAACCAAGTTATAGCCGTCACGAAACGATGTGTTGCAGATTGGCCCAAATGAAGATGTCATGCCAAGGCACATTGGTGCAAGGTGCCTCAGACAGCAATCATAGCTTGTGGATGAAGCTATCACAACTGCACCATGACAACGGTATGATATGGCCCACAATGGCCCACAATGGCCCACATATATAATAAATATGTTCATGTCATGTGATTGCCTGATGAGTGGCGTGCCCACCTGCAACGGGTGTTTTACAAGTCATCCCACAAAGTTCGTATTTAGGCTTGTTATATCTTGTTATATCTTGTTATCAGAGACTCAAACATCAAAAGTACCTAGGGATACCTAGGGTATCCTAGGGTCCTTTTCCATCTTGTTCCTGAGACATCGGTCTACAGTTTTTGCATGCCAGGCACTGGCCACAAGGCTGGCTCCGAGTTGCGTCGCCGGACTCCAGTTGCTTCCTGCGTTGTCAATTGTGCGACATAACTCTTCTACTCGCTTCTACTATCTGTCTAGGGGCTCTAGGCTCTAGGTCTATAGGTTACTTCACTGGCCTCCTCAGAGTCAGAGAAGTGGATGAAGGTGTTCTTGACCTAGAAGCGTATGGAATCGGTATGGACTGCAGATGGAAGCATATCTCGCATGACTGTGTGAACTTAACATGGGCCCACATGGGCCCACATGGTCTCACATGCTTCGACCATCTTCCAGCCATCTTTCAGCGATCTTCTAGTCATCTTGCAGCCATCTGCTGGCAGGCTGCTGGAGCGTTTCCAGAGTTCATTGTGCAGCGGGCCATGGCTTCTGCCGGTCTACTGCTTTCCCTTTGAGCTGAATGTGCCAAGGCAAGATCACAGGAAACTGGACTCAAGAGAAGTACAAGGAAAGTATGCTGGAGACTGGAGATATTGGAGATGACAGTACTATGATTGGGAATATGATTATCACGGACATCATGCCCAGCAACCCTGTGCAAGTCAGTGCTATTCTCGGTACTTGCTACTTTGACGATTATTCTCTCTTTCTGCCCTCCATTCGCAATCGCGTTGGCAAACAGGCGGTGCCGGCACAGCAAACAACGGGATAAAAGATATCCTTTTCTCGCTGCGCTCCTATGCCATTTGGATTTAGCTGGCCATTTCCGAAAGTTGGATGTGGTCAGGGCTCCGGTGGTTTGTTGTCGACGCGTTGCAACCACACGTTGTGACCCTCACCATCCTGGTGAAATGTGTTGAATACACATCCTCAGAGGATCAAACGTCTGATCACACCAGCTGTGAGGAGAACAAGATGGAACAAGGACGTCACAAGCCATCCGATTGGGTAGTATACATTCAGTTCTGCCATTGCCAAGAGGCAAGCTGCACAGAACTAGTCCAACATCCTGAGCAAAAAGGACGATGAACACTTCCATGCCACCAATACCAGAAGCAACGCTTGAAAACACACAAATCATATCAAATCAAGAATCAAGAAGCATTAATCATTAAAAAGCCATAAGACTATAAAGATTCCAAGTCTGCATATTGATGTCGATTGTTGGTGCCAGACACTTGCAGCACAAAATACAGCTGAGGAGCAGCCAAAGGTGCAACCCTGAGACGCAGTAGGCTTCCAGGTGGTTCACCACGCGGGCCCTGACACCAGATCTCATTGCAGGGTAACAATGGGTAACAGTAGCACACATGCTCCATAGTCATGGTATTTCACAGATGCAGTCAATGCATGTCAATGCAGTCCTGCTGTGTGACCGGCTCCGTTGTAGCAAGTAGTTTGCCACAGAAGTCAGTGAGATTCCTTATTGTTTGGATAAGCTGCGGGTTTGGTGCCTTGCACTGAAAATACGAAAAGCATCGAAAAGCTGCTGTCACATGCTGTCACCTCTTCTTGGCTGCATGGAAAGATTCAAGGTCTGGTGCTGGATAGATCCGAAAAAGAGAAACTTCTGGCTGATTGTTTCAATGAAGACCTTGTCATCTCTTCCTTGTCGCGGTTCATATGTAAGCTTTGCGAACACCGCATGATCGGCGTTCAAGATCCTTGGGAAGCTGGCAGCATCATCAAGGTCCCAAGGGCCCACCATAGAGCTGGCTATGAAATTTCATGCTCAAATGTTCAAGCAATTCCTATAGGATTAGATATGATTGGCCAATGCAGTTAAGCTGCTCAAACGTAATTTCAGTGGATGTCTGCGATGGGAATGATTGTTGGGTACGAACACACTGACCCAGCAAGACCTTGTTGGGGGTCAGCAGTTTCCGTCGTGGTACTGGAGTTGCCTCGAACGAGTCCTCCATCCCCAGCACAATGCCTCCGCCGGAGTCAATGACATCGTAGGTCATCCCACGCTTGGGCTTGGAGCAAACGAGCAGAACACACTCGCAACCCTCGGGAACGACCAGATCTGGGGTGAAATGCATTTCATCCTTAGCTGAATCATTGCAAAGGCATGCAAGGGCCATGATGAAACAAATTTGCCTGAAGGCCCAAAAGCTGCTCTTCCTGCAAGTAACATTTTGAAGGGAGAGATGCGCGAAGCGCATTGAGGACCGGCCAATGATCAGGTCATCAGTTGCGATGCTGCAATCTGCTACCCAGGAACTATCCCTTTCAGCATTGATTGCGATGGAATCTGGCTTTTGGTGCCTCGCTCCTGCACTTGGCTCAGAGAAAAAAAATAGAAAACATCATTAGGTTTGTAATGATTTGTATGACTTGGTCAGCCTCCCAGCGCTGCATAATTGCAGCATACATTGCGCAAGCCACCATCAGAGTGAAGAGGACCACCGCCACAAAGAAATTTCCTCGGACTGGATCCTGAGGCTGAATGCATCTGGCGCTGTTACATTGACAGATCAGGGTCAGATATGGTCACATAAAAGCAGTGCCATCCAGGACAGGGTCACTTGATTGTCGCTCAGTTGACCCTGCCTGGGACAGTATCATCGCATGCAGCAGCAGTTGCATGTCGATGTCAGAGACCTCTCACACACGCCGCGATGTCATATTCTCATACGTGCTCTGTGTTGCTGTGTCACATCTGTTGGTTCCCTGTTGCCGCCCTTTCAACACGCTGTGAGTCTGCGTGCTTGCACTGATCTCTAAGAAGTCAGGCTGTCAGAGACCTCTTCAGTGTAGTGGCATCTTTCATCCAGCAGTTTGCTCAGTGTCTTGCCATGTCTTGCCGAAATATCCGAATTGATCAAAGAAGAACATACAGACAAAGGCCGCAGTGTACATCATTGTCGCTCTTGTTTGAAAATCTTGAAATTTGATAGGCGGGAAGGAGACATCGTGGCAGTGTCATTGTGGCACGTTTTTTTTTGCCTGAAATGGTTTTTACTTAGACTAGATGCCTTGGTCACAGCAAGGCACAACTGCTCCATGAATCTGATGATTTCTCTGCAAGTCGAGGATACAACATGGCAAGGAAGCCAGGACACACAAATCATTGCTGTATAACGCGTGGGATGTCACTGATGAGTTGTGCCCAAATTCCCCTGGTGCCTGTATCATAGTGCCATTGATGCCATTGCAGGGAGGCCTGAGTAAAGCAAGTAGCATCATAAACATGCCATTTACATCCATTAACGAATCATGAGCCGATCATTACCTAAAAATTGACCTCCAAATACCTCCATTGACATCACTTAGCATGCAGTCACATCCATTGACATTCAGCAAGCATCATGTGTCATCACTGATTGAACCAACACATCCACTATTCAGCAACCATTCACATTAAACCACCATCGTGGCAGCCAGACGGCTCTGGGCAGCAACTTGCACTGTGAATCGTCACCAGAATTACAGTGCTCCCCAATAGGCCTGGCACAAATGAATTGCTGATGTGGTTCCTCTGCAACCCTTCCCGCTTCTGGATACAATTGGAACTGATAAGTAACAAAGTTTATACCCCAGCTCACAGTTGGAAGAACCATGAAGAGTCCACTCAGTTGCAAATACTAGCAGCAAATCGCTTCAGCTGAAGCAAATGGACCACTTCAACTGATGAGAACAAGCGCAAACGTGGTAGGCAGTAGAGAACGATGTGGCTATAATATGTGGGTACAACATGCTAGAACTATGCTACAACTCCAGGCCTCTGCCAAGCATCATGAGAAATAGGCTAGAATTGATGTAGTGAATGGTAAAGTCCTGGGTGTCACAACCATCTCACCAACAATTCTCCAACCTTCATGCCACAGCCTTCAGCTCTGAACACAGAAACGGTCCTGAGAACCGGGCGTAATTAGATCGTATCGTCCTGTGTAAGGTGCTCAGTCGAGTGAAAAAGGAGCACCTCACCAAGCTGGAACCCAGAGCCTCAAATCCTGGCATCTCATGGTGATTCATGGTGCATGTCTTCAGAATATCTTCAGAAAGCCCGTGTTTCTAGCAGGAAACTCTTGCCAAGTGGCACTCTGACTGTTGGAGGCTCAACTACTCTGAGCAACCAATGATGGCTGCGGTGTTCGTGGACCATTTCAAGTGAGGATATTGAAGATGCTGTGGCTGCGACCACTCTGTCAGGGTCTAGAAGTTTCGGAACCGGTACAGGAGTCATACAGTATTATATAGTATTATGATGTCCGAATCTGAGATACACAGGAAGTAGGACTTGCATGGACTTGCACATATCGGCACTCTTTTCGTAAAATTTCGTAAACATATCTTTTCTGTTCATCGGATCATCTCGGATCTGAGGTCTCAGATCTCCAGGAGCGGCCTTCTGCAATAAAGGCCGAACACAGAAGCACTGCACCGGCGTGACATGGCGTGACATAGTGCCAGAAACATCCAGAAACCAGCAAATCTAGTTACACGGCACAACGGCTTTCAAGGCCTGTTTAAGAATGGTATTAAGTCCGAAGTTGTCAAAGGAAACTATGCAATTGTCTCAGCCAGGGTCTCAGAAGAGATGTCATTGAGCATCACTGAGCAACCGCTTGCATGCACATCCTCGCAGCCCAAATCTACAACAACTGACACTCTTCGAAACCTGGCTGGTCCTTTCATCAAATATGACCATGACATACTATATGTGACATGCTATGACATACCATGACCCACAATCCATACAGCCGGGGCACAGCGCACATACTGCCAGACCCACATCTGTTGCAGGTGCACAACGCAGTCGAAGCGCCTCCCCTCGCACCATGGGTGCACAGGGTGCTGTGGTGGCCAATAGTCGGCCAAAGGAGTCGGTCATATTCCTTGGATTTGACACCGACATCGGTCCCTGATGGCCTGATCTGCTGGAGCCACAAATTCATCCAAGGATCAGGGAGCCATGTTGAAAGGATCCGAAAAAATAGAACATCTGCCGCGGCCTGATGGGATGTGCCACAAACATCCACAAACAACAAAGAGCGGCACAACAAAGGCTGCAATTAAGAACAATCCCAGGAGTTCTCATGCAATTACAGCAGGGTGTGCAATGACCTTTGTATTTTGCTGTTTCTTGACATCAGTGCTGTTGTTTGCCAGTCTTGTGGGCAGAGTAATTTGATATAATTTGATGTAATCTGTCAATTTCTGTCTTCTGTGTGCTTAAGCTTTCAGAGATTGACAGCCAAAGCACGCTAGGAACCCGTCACTCTGTGACACAGTTGCACTCAAGTCTGTGCTGCTGACACCAAGTTTCAAGCGTAACATAGCGCAACAACAAGTAGCCAAAGCACCTCTCAATGATGCACTTATCCTCTGTGGATTCCCGGCCAACTTCGTACGTCAAAGTTGCCCAGCAGTCCTGTTGAATTGGAGCGAAGGAAACCCTTCTGAACAAATCTTGAGACAACTATAGTCAATCATGGTTGACTGATTTCACTCGCGCGCCTGGTTCCCATTCAGCAACTGAAATCGAACCACTTCTGGCTTTGGAGAAAGGCTTTCACTGCAAATGATCTGTGCCAACTCCATATTGCTACTGCTCAGAAGCCTCAAGTAGCAGGGGGTTACAACAACATTCATAAACATTCAGATTGTTGATCTGCAACTAGAAAACTAGATCTGCACCGTAGGTACGCACTTGTCTCCACACCTCTCCAGACCTATATAGATGGAGAGAGGGAGAGATAGACGGATGGAGGGACAGATGGATGAGATAAGATTAGAGTATATAGACGAGGTAAGATTAGTCTAGAGTCTAGACTAGACTCGACTACATTTCGTTAGATTGTACCTGTCCATGAATGATCATGAATGTGTTTGTATCACAAGCGAGATATGACTGGGACTGGGACGATGAAGGATGATGAAGGATGATGAAGGATGATGAAGGATGATGAAGGATGATGAAGGATGATGAAGGATGATGAAGGATGATGTGGGATGTATGCCTTCCGATTCTGGCTGGACCTAGCTGTCCTTTCTCTTTCGCGTCTAAGCTGCGCTCGGCGAAGAACAGGATTCACTGGCTGTGGGTCAGCGATTCGAAGCACCACACCTCCACAAATCAGTCTGCAAAAACATGTTGAATTAACATTCTACTCATGGATGCAGGCTCCCAAAGGTGCCCATGATTCTATCACAAGTCTACGAAAGCATGGGTGGTCCTAGCGCGTTCGTGCACATAGGGCACAACTTTTGACAGAAACCGATTCCTTTCAATCCTTCAGGATTCAACCCCGGTAGGGCCCTACAGATCCTTCCATGAGGACCATCGAGGACCTAAACTTTGTGTGGAAATGTGTGGAAGCCAAATGCCTCCGCTGCTGTCCAGCACGTCATACGGCTGCCCCCGTTTGGGTCTTGCCAGAAGGTAGAGGACGCATTCACAGCCATCGGGTACAACCAGGTCTGGGGTGAAGTAGCAGTGATCCTGGGCGGCATTCCGGAGCAATTGGCCATACTTCTCGTGGCCGCCCAAACGTTGGGTGAATCAACACTTCTTCGATCTTCTAATGAGGATACTACAATGAAAAATAATGCCTATCCGGCTTATCTAAGGGAAAACCATTTAGAAAACAACCAATCTTCTGCGGAAGAAAAAACCACGGACGTCCACCCCTGGGACCTGCAAAACTATCGTGTTTTTTCTCCAGGTATCCAACGCCATCATAGAAACTTGGCTTGGAAGTCCGCGCAGAATGTTTGTCATTTCCTCCGGGTCACTTCCTGCCAGCAAGCCACAACCATTACAGAATGGTTGAGTAATAAACAAAAGATTCATGTTCTTTTCGAATTGACATGCCCCACAGTGCTCGACAATGCATGGTTGAGCTGGGTGCTTCTCCACTTTACAATAGCACCACTTCATCAGTCTGGAAACAGAAAAGCTAGGCCCAGCTAGGCTCCGACCGGTCCGACCTTTCTTTGTCAGGAATTGAAGCGCCAAATATATTATGATCGCGAGAATCAATGCTCCACAACTGACGGTGACTAAGCTAGCCTCAGCGAAGGTCAGCAACATGCGCTTTGCAAATCGTTGCAAGTCGTTGCAATTACTTCTGCTGACTGTACTGATGTGTAATTCATTGCATTCATGACAGTAAATTGACTTCAATGTTGCCAAATTGCCAAAACAAAATAAAACACATATGGCCCCTTCCACACATCAGCCAGGAACGATCGACAGATAGCTCCCGCAAGATTCTCGTGCAGCTGACTGGAATAGTAAGGAAAGCTCCTTGTGCAAGTCAAATGAATCGTTTACCTTGCCATCAAAAGAACGAAAAGACGGCAATGCGAACAACGCCGGACTTCGTCTGTGTGGGGGGTTGATGTGGCAGAAAATTGGGTGATATCACGACATGCAAAATCCATCAGCATCCTCTTTGACAAACATGTTCAAACATTGTTCAAACATGTGCGTCCTTTCTATTGCTGTTCTTTTGCTTGATCCCCTCAGTGGACGCTTTGTAGGTTTCTTGAGTTTCCTTTCTTAAGAAAACATGCGCAAACATTTCAACCAACAGAACAAAAACAAAATACAAAAAAATGCTGAAATAATTTCCGGTAGGCGGAGGCAGACAAACTCTTGAACTCCACATTGCGCTGTAGTAAGGATCTTGCTGACAAATCACAACTCTCCAGCAACGTTGCGTCTGAGCAGGAAGTGCTAGCTAGGCTCGGATGGACGGTTGTAAATAGAAAAGAGCCGAGAGTATATCCTGCTGCTCTCCTGCTCATTGCCAGAAATGCCAGCACATGAACACGGCAAAAGGAAGATGTAGATACGCTACACTCGGCTCGCAAAAGGATGCAGAGTAGGTATGTAGTAAGGTCGCGGATAAGGTGACTTTCGGGCTGCAAGCCTGAGTAAACAAAGCAGGTGCAAATGAACAATCATGAGCCCCCCAGAATGCAAAAGCATGCAAGAGCAGTGTGTGAAATGGAACATTTGGAATACTTTTGACATTAGATCGGCACGTGTCCACTACCTCCTATGGAAGTACATACAGTATGCCATTGATATAACCTCTGGAAGAAAACGAATCTCGCTGGTTGTTGGCGGATAGCTTTTCAGGCTGTCCCATACCTGAGAGCCCTCAGCCTGAAGGGCACATTGCAAAGAAACCCACTTTTCAAACCAAATGCTAGCTCAAATCATCCAGGCAGCATTGGGCGCAATCCCGAAATGTGTGCCCAAGGGCAAAACAGTCGCAAAGCAATACCCGAGCCGTACAGCGGGACATACATCCACCAACATGGTTTAAAGTTTTAAGAGATAACTTGATCTCAATGCACATACTTGGCAAGAAACGATGCACAGGGAGAATTATACAATATATATTATAAATATATTATACTATACATCTCGATTAGTTCATGAATGTCGCACCAGCGAAGCCCCAGGTCTGTCGCACTGGAGCTGTTAGATGCTGCTAGATGAGGAAGGAGGCATGCTAAGCATGCCTACTCGACGATTAAGTCAAAACAGACCAAACAAAGCAGTGCGTGATGCCTTTGTGGGCAACTGATCCCATAAGATTGCAATGAGGCCGCGACCAAAGTGGCAACTCACATGGCGGCACCTCGCTTTCCACTCAAAACTTCTGCACAGGTCGGCCCGGCAAATACGGCCCCAAACACCTGTTCATGCGCATTTCAAACCTGTTCAATTCATTTCAGTCTTTCAATTTCATTTCAACAACATTTCATCATGTTCATGATCCGGCCTTCTCGGAGGGCATCAGTACTGTAACCTCAGCAAAAGCTGCGCACCATGCTTTGCTGATGGAGCTGAATAAGTTCTGATGAGTCCTGATGAGTTCTTAGGGGGTCTTCATCCTGTTCTTCACATGTCGCATGCCATCTGTTAAATGCAAGGCATGCTGCATTTAAAATTTGGGGATGATCGCTCCGGTTGCAATGTGTGGAAGCGCTGAAAAAATCGGGGCCTTGTCCTCCATCAGGGGTTGCTCAGAACCATCCTCAACGGCGTTAGGCTTTAGAATGACTTTAGACAGCCAACAGTCAACAGAATCAAAAGACATTTTTGGGGGGCACTATGACCGTGACTGAAGTTTCGAAGCAGGAGAGACTGACTCGAGTATCACGCCATCGAACCGGTCAACAATAATCGAAAACAAGCACACCAAGAACATCCAAGAACTACACAATATCACTGTTCATATGTGCGCGTTACATAATCGCGGCCTATGTATTCTTACCCCACCAAGACTGAGGTAGAGAAGGGCACTCAAGGACAGGAAACTTGTTGTTTGACAGGAGAAGCCGAGAAATGCCTTTTTGAAAAACGAACATAAACGAACATTGCACACGATAGAGCCCCAACTGCTGGCAAAAACCAGCTGAAGCTTGCCTCGGCTGGAAGCTCACCAGGCATTTCTTCAGGCCTTACATATATGCAAATCAAGTATCATGACGTGGTGGGTTTCGAGATGTGCGGATTTGTTTTCACCATTCCAGGTCGAGTTTAACATAGTTTAAGCCTGGGGCACAGCTGGGACAGGTTCTGCCTTCCAGATCCAAACCATTCATCACACATGTGTATATTTCAAAAAGTAACAAATAATAAGGAGTGAAGACTTCATTAAAAAAAAAAAAAACATCTAGAAGCACAAACAATCAATGAAAAAAAGCTCAACAGAATACACTGTCTGAACTTACGTGCCTATGACGGGGTTAGAACATGTGCCACCTCTGTAGCTTTTTGCTTCAAGTGCCGAAGTGCTTCTTTGGCTTGCCTCGGGGTACAGGTATCTCTGTGGACATGCGTATGCTGGAAAATCACGTCAGAGATCCTCTCAAGAAATTCTGAGGTTCCAGCTCAATCATCTCAGCACTCTGCAGCAGCTTGTCTCTTGGGTTCTCCTCGTCTATGAACTGGTCAGCCGTCTAGAGTCTACAACATTGTGCCAGTCTCAGAGGCACCAAAAGAGTCAAAAACGGGAAGGCCACTTCTGGTTGCCAAAGCACGGGTGCAAGAACGCATGCCATCCAGTAACATTTTTTCATTTTTTTCAGACAGCCGCTTTGTCCCACCATAACTATGCGTAACTATGAACAAGAATATGAAACGCTATATACAAATACATGTAAGACTGGAAGGACAAAATCAGACCAAAATAGCCACATAGCTGCCACTGAGGCAACATCAGAGAAGTGGCGCGTCACGGATAGCAAATTGATGGAAGCTCCCGCGCAACACCCACCCTGCTGCAAATGAGGCTGGGCCAATGCTTGCGATCAGGACCAGAACAAGTTGATCTGCAAATCTTTGTTGCCCAGCTGATTCCACAGCACTGAGTTGTGCGCTTTGTTCATGTCCATTCTTGGCCTTGCGCAAGTCACTAGATTCACTGGATCTCTCCTCAATGAGCGCAAGTCTCTGGCGCGACCCTGCAAGCTTTGTCTTGGGCGCTGGTTGCTTTACAGGCTGCCCATCGTTGAGGTACTGAACCACCTCTCGGGCGAAAACCACCTTAGCAGCTGCACCACGCATCACCTGACAGAAATTCAGAAGCCATTGGATGTCACTGGCCACAGAACCCAGCGACTGTGCAAAAGGCAACAACGGCAGTGGCATGCACAAACATAACGTACCATGCCATGACGTACCTGGATAGCATTGAAGTGGTTCTTGCTGGCAGTGGAGACGCCATCCTCGATCAAAACGACATCATATTGCAGGCTGAAGGCATGGAAGGCGGTGGATATGATGCAATCATCGGTCCAGGCTCCTACCTGACCAGGTCAAGCTGGTGAAATTCTGGTTTGGTTTGGGTCAAACTCGTAAAGCTGCGGTAATATCGTTAATCGCAGTAGTAGGTATTTCTTCAAGTAAGATCAAGATCAAGATAGATCAAGTAAATAGTTGTTTTAAAAAAAAACTGGAAACCAAGACATCGAAGATCATCGAAGCAAAAGAGCTCAGGCAACAGCACCGGACCTACCCGTCTGCACCTATCCTTGCCTGGACCACAGTGTCAACCCCAAGCTTCTGCAGCTCCGTGTGTAGCGTGCCTGGGTCTATGACGAGTACGTGACAATCCTGGAATCTTTGGATCTAGTGATTTCTAGTGCCGAAATACCATTTGGATCCATTTGGAATCATTTGGATATATGATATATATTGATATATGATAATTAGCCTTCATAATCATTTATAAATAGTCAACACTTGTTTCCCTTAAATCCCTTTGGTTCTGAGTTGATCTGTGCCTTGGCCATCAGGCACTAGCCATTCCATCGGCGACTCGTCAAACATATCCAGAGAATAGCTCTTGTGCATCACACGTTTCCTTTCCTCTGGTGTCTTCGGAGCGACTTCGGGAAGCACATCCTGGCAGGCACTGCAGGGATCGGGATCACACCATATCACACCAAGTTATTGAGAGTCATGGAATGTCATGGGCATCTAAGAGACCTTCAGACCATTTCAGACCTGCAAAGACTTTCCTTTCTGCTGTCTAGCTTCACCACCATTTGGCTTGTGATTGTACAACGCATTCAATGAAGTGTTCCACCTGACAGGACGTTGCAGGGCATGCTCAATGGTTTTAATATGTTTTAATTCATTCTGAAAGATGTGAAGCTGGTAAAATCTCTGAATATGTTTGAAGCCGTTTGGGCAACTCCAGAGCTTCAAATCATGCCATTAAGCCCACCACCCAATAGGCCCATAAAATCGATCCATGGAATTGAAGAAACCATCATCTGGACCCCATCGCCACCAGGTGCTCCAAAAAATTGGAAGTTTCGCCTCCAGGTCACACTGGTTGGGTGTTGGATGGTGTTGGGGCGCTGACAACACTGATTGCTTTCTCATTGGGACTATTGGGACAGCCATGCAAGCTGCTTTGATGCTTAGATGATGCTTAGCAGTCCAACAGCTTCCAGTACGACTGCTTTGCCAGTTCACTGCTTGCACTTTTCCTGGACAACTGATGCCTTTCGAAACCCCTCCACGAGCTGCATGATTGGTGGCACAATCCCCTGCACGTAGTCATGGTACTCAACCTCCAGATCCATTTTCAGCATCACAGCATGCATGTCTAGAACGTGCAGCGGTCCCATGTAACATCACAAGTGCTCCATGTTTTCATCATGTTTCATCTACTTGCCGACCTATGGCAGGGCAAAAAAGCTGCTCTGACACTCTTTCTCGCCGTGTGTACAGCCTGCATATCATCGACGAGAAGAGCCATTGTTCGCTTCCGGTCACTCAGCTCATAGGCACCTGATGAATGTGAGTGCCATTGAAAAACATTGGGGTCTTTCAATCTCTTCCACCCAATTGTGATTCTTATGGTCGGTCTTCCACATGACTGCAGCATGGGTAAAATCGAACAGCCCCACGCAACATCAATGCTGGCCAAGAGACACCAAAAATCGGTCAAAAACTCAAACTGCAAAGGGTTCCTCTGGCCGATGGCTGACATATCCACAACCTTTCAAGTGAGCGTGGAAAACTATACACACACGTACGTCAGTCAAAACAAAGGCACACAAACACGCTTCATTTGAAGGGCAAAGCCAGACCACCATCTGAAAATAGACAATGCAAACAAGGTGCAGAGTTCTCATTTGCAGCGGCCATCTGGCTGAAGTGTTGCTCACCATCCTTTGCAATTTTTGGCAATGGATTCATCCCAGGCCCCAACGTTGCTTCTGCGAAAAGGAGTGGCAAGCTCCACCAAAGGGCCATGGCACCGAAGATGGAAAAACAGCAGGCAAAACTATCATCAGTGCCGCAGCCCTGCAAGCCTTACGCATGAAAGCTGATGCCATCTGATGGCGGCCTGTGAAAATTATTGAAAATCCATGCGCATCTCACGGTTCTGAAGTTGTCCTTTGGAGTCAGAGGTCAGGAATGATAGGAATGTGGAGAAGATGTGTGGAACACAACCAGAATCCATCTGTACCTACCAACTCACCGTGGAAAAAATATGAAACAATGCTCACAGAAATGTCAAACATGGACAACTTCTTCATGCCACACCTTCGCTTCCGCGTGTTTGGGTTCCACTTGTTCTGGAACCTGATGCACAAACGCATGGATACCACAGAGTAGAGAAGGCAAGCAATCACGATGCGAACAAAAGCCAAGGTCAATCAGCCTCTTTCACGTTCGCCGCAGTCTCCTTCTTGTCCTTCTTTCTTTTTGTGCTTTCCGGCGCGGCAGATTTGTCTGCTTTCTTGGCAGGAGCTTCCTGGATCATCGAATCACCACTGGCTTTGGCACAATCCCAACATGGCTCAACTATGCTGAACTCATAAGAAATACCCGACAACCGGCCACGAGGTCCATGTGTCCACTCCCGGAAGCCTCTGTAGTGTGGCTCTTTTTCTCCTCTTTTTGTTTTGTGCTACCCTGAGCTGCTTCATGCTTGTCCGTGGGTGCGGCTTTAGCCGTGTCGCCCTTACTCTTCTGCTTCACCTGCTTTAGAGCGTCAGTCGCGAGCATTCCAAACAAAAGTCGCTAAGGCCTGTTCACTGAAGTTGCATCACATGTTCAGTGTCTTAGAAATTGTCTAGGATTTTACTGTATATTGAGAAATGGCGGCTTCTGCTCCTCATTGGAAGGCGCTTTCTTTGACGCCTTCTCAGCCTAGAGATGTGAACCAGCATCATCCAGGATAATGCCACACGATCTACGCGTGAGCGAAATGCAAATGCGGATTATAGATTGGACATGATTGGACATCACAGCGCACATACATCCCTATCTGCCCATGTGCACCTTGGTGACAGGCTTGGGTTCCTTGGCTTGTTTCTCTTGAGCCTGTGTGAGGGTCACTGCGAAGAACCACTTCTCCCGAGCACAGTGCCGTCTGTGTGCTCCTTCTCTGTTGAAGTCTTGCCCTTCTTTGGTTTTTCTTTTGGCTCTTTGACCATCTTGGCCTTGAGCAGAAAAATGCAGTACCGAAACTGCAAGCGAAGACTCTGAAATAATCATAAAGGCCGGCTTGCTGTAGAAATATGTAGAAATGTGGCATTGAGAGTGACTTCTGGGTGGTGACAACATGTCTGCAGGATTCCGCAGGTGCCTCTTCTTTTGAGGCCTTTCCTTTTGATTCTGCCTGCGGCTGGAGCACAAGGGGAAACAGAACCTTTGTTGATTTGTGTAAAGAGACTTTGATGGCAAACAAATCTGACACCGTTTGTGTGGATCCTCAGCAACTCAGCATTATGCGACTGACTGGCTTAGCTTCAGGACCTTCAAAGTGTGTCTTGACTCTTTTTCTTTGACCTGCGGTGCGGGAGAAGCTTTCTCAGCCTTCTCAATGTCGGTAAACCCCGATAAATGGGAAACATAACACACCTCCGCACAAAAGCCTTCCTGGAGTTGAGTCTTCCACAAGATCATACCCCCTGAAAATCATGATATCCAAGAACAAATATGACTCATGACTCATGACTCTAAAAACATTCACGCGAAGCGTTCGATTGCCTTTGCATGCTCACCACCGGATACGGCTTTGATCGCCGTGGATTTGTCCTCAGAGATCTGGCCCAGGTTACCCGGTTCTGGCTGCGAGAATCGCTCATTTTTCTGGCACGAACGAAGCAACCTGAGGAAATCTGAGGAATCAACGGCAGAAGATACTTTTGATGCCCCTTCTGCCTGCCACTGTTTCAAGATCTCTATGTCTTTCTCCATGTCCTGCGAGCTCGTGCCGACAGGTCAACACCCAAACTGGCACCGGAATTCTGCAGGCTTTGATTATCATTTCACCATGTTCTCTCCACAATATGTATAAATGGTCACGTTTATTTTGAAGACGCAGCAACAGAAGAGAAACAAGGGAGAAATCAAACGCAAAATAAGCTGTGTGTTGGCTCGGGCCACTGCGCCCATCATTGTGGAACAAGTTCATTTTCTGGGGATTGGAGCAGTTTCTCTGGTGCGTGCACTCTAGGAAATGCAGTGCGGAAAGACCAAAGCCCTGCTAACTTAACTGGTCTATTAGGTATGTTTAATTGTTATTATGCTATTGGTTTTCAATTTGGGCAGTCTCATTAGACAAGTGCTTCAGTAGGGTGACGCTCACCCCTTGGGATTCTGCCAGGTACTACCATCTTCTTCACGTCAGTCATCATCAGGTCATTCAGGATCTTTTATCCCCAGGTCAGTCCTTCCGTCGGTCAGGATTGGTTTCCTTGCAGGGATCAAACCAGATCAAACCAGTGGCGCTCAACAACTCTCACACCACAGCCACAGCTTTCCACAGTCATCAAAACTGTCAGTGACAGCCGTCCGTGTGAGTGCCTTGGCGAGCTCTCGTTGGCGCTCAGCCTCTCAAATAAAGTGTGGGAATGCTTGCTGTCGCTGAGAATGGCTGGGCAAAGTTAGTGACATTTGCCTTGGAAATTCCTAAGTTTTCCACCAACATTTCCTGCAGATTGTCCAGAGCCACTTTGGTCTCCTCCAGTCTCCCAGATCACACTCCATCAGAGTTTAAAACTGTATGAAACTGTGCCTCTGTTTTAGGGTTTGACTCGGTTTGACCATTTCATCAATGATTTATCATGATTAATCCAGTGTAATTAGCAACGATTGCAGTGCAGAAGCGTTGAAAGTGGCACCAGCGTGTCTTTTCCACCAATTCTAGTGTGCGTAGGATTGCGTAGGCCTTGTGAAATCATGCTTCCAGTAGAAAGGCCCCGTTTTAAACAGGATCTCCTGGTGGGAGCAGAGGCCTCCGTCAATTTTGTGAAACAATAGCCGCTCATGGCACCCATGCTTCATTTTGAGAGCAACTGGCCACAAGTTGAAAAATCTGGCAAAACATGGCAAAACATGGGATCAGAGTCAGCGTGATTGATTCAATCACCCTGAATCTACATGATTTAGGTATCACTCAAGTGGGATCCGTCTCAAATAGTTGGGAAGGGCCGGAGAACATCCACCGTCTTGTCAAGTTCCTCCACATTGGTCTGGAGCCGAGATACCTGTAGCGTTGGACTTGACAGAAAGGTCTGCAAATATGCGGAGGGGCCGACAACGGGTTCACCATCCTTCCAGCAGAATAAATCACCGGAAGAGCAGCTAGTGCCAGTGTCGGACCCGCATATACAAAATGAATAAAGTGACGAAGTATGACTCCTAGCATTCAGTCAAGCCAATGCGGTGGTCGCCTTCATTCTGTTTTAGAAGCTGCACACCTTCTCGCATACCGACTAACTAAGTTGAGGCACGTCAGACCTCACTTGACGAATCATCTTCATGGTCATTTGCGCCGGCACCGGAACATCGCGAAGGAACAGGTTCCTTGATTGCACTGCAAAGGGAGGCCTTTGACACGAGATGACATGTGTGTGTGTGTGCGACAACACCTGAAGCAAAGCAAATAGAGTTTGCTGACATTGCAACACGAGCAAAAGAACCAGCTTTTACCGGAGAACAACAACCAGAGCTGAAGCAAAGGAAACACTGCAATGCCGCTTCTATAACTAGCTTAAACACTCATATTGTGCGCATCAGTACAGCCAAGAAGCAAAAGACCTTCGATAAATTCGTAGCCTTGTGGAACGCAATAACCAGAAACGACCGGGACTGGCCCCCCAGTGCATGACATATCCCCACAAAAAAAAGGATTTCGAACCCTTCAGCCACATCGGAACCCACCAGAAAGATCCAGAAATAATGCTTCAAAACATGTCCGATGTCGGATGTTCATGGTAAGAACATGTAAGAACCCCTCATGCCACATTGGGCTGTTTGAGTCCACATGAGTCCACTGAGCATTTCATCAACTCGCTCTGAATCCAAGCTGCGACTGATGACACCAGAACCATCCACGTCGAGGGTTTCGAACAGATCGGCCATGCCTTTGTTGGGATCAAGAGTTGGCAGCAAGCATCCTACTTGCGGCGCATGATTCCTCAAATTCATTCAAATTCAAATTCATTCAAATTCGATGGTGGCTTTCTTTCAGCCAAAGACATGATTATATAAATCATTATAAATCACTGGTTGGTGGTTTCAACCCCTCTGAAAAATATTAGTCAGTTGGGGTTATTATTCCCAATATATGGAAAAATAAAAAATGTTCCAAACCACCAACCAGATCATATGGAATCCAAGGAACTGTCCACTGAGGCCTTCTCAAACAACAGGTCTGGAACGAGTCCATCCTCCCCAAACTTGGCCATCCTTGGGCAGTTGCAGTGACATGAGTTGAGCATGTTGAGCCCATAGTGATTTATACTACTGACAGTAATTAATCAGATCTAATCAAAAAATGTAACCATCATCAGCCAAGAATAGCTAATACTATGCTAATACTAATTAATACTATATATCAGCTGCACCATTTCATTCGATTGCATGTCCCTTTTGTCCTTGGGTCCTTAAGTTCAACACTCCTTTAAGTCAACTTCTCCGCTGCCATCCTTGGAACATTTGGAACGCAGCTGGCCAAAGGTGACATTTCAGCGATTGGTTCTGGCATATTTTGGCATGTTTTGGCTTCCCATCGGTGACCAAAAACATCCGATACCACTGCAATGTCACAAGTGAAGATTGGCATGACTGATGCACTGGTCTGATTTGCACAAAAGAAACGCTAACAATAGGCAGTCAATGTCAGTCATGCATTCATGCGGGGCGTGAAAATCCAAGACTGTTGGCCTGCAAAGCAATCAACATGCAGCTATAATCAGCTATTTGTGACACTGTGAAATTCCGCACAATGGCCTCACATCACGATTCTCACACCAAAACAATTAAATCAAATGACAATCCTTCTACCAAGCGTCAATATCAATCTGGTCGAAGAGGTGGATAATCTCCGGAACCATTTGTTTGGCTCTGGCTTTTGCCAATTTCGCATCGTCCCTGTAGATAAGTGGCAGAGCAGTGGCAGGACAGTGGCAGAAATTTGCCTTGCAGGATAGACGCTTAGGGGATCACTTAGAGCACCGGAAAGTGGATCACTTAGAGCACCAGATCACTTAGAGCACCATGGGATCACTTAGAGCACCAAAATGGATCACTTAGAGCACCAAAGAATGAGACCTTTAGGGTTTAACTCGGGGACAGGGGGCTGGGACATGGGGCGGGTTTAGGGGACAAGTTGGGACACAGGGCTGGGACATGGGGTGGGTTTAGGGGGCAAGCATGGTGGATCAGAATCAGAGAATCAGACCTTCAGGGCTTAACTTGGGGACACGGGACTGGGACACGGGTTCGGTTACTTGGAGGGACTACCGCCTGGAATGTGTACCTGCGTGCATCTATCAATGTCACTACGTGCGTGCTTCAGTGCTTCAGCGTGTAGGCACGTATGAATGTGTCCATTTATGTGTCTATGTCTCTGTGTCTATATGTAGCTATAGCGCTATGTATCTCTTATGTGTCTGTACGTGTCACCTTTCGGCGTTCCAAGCGATCCACTTTCCCGCGCTCGAAGCGATCCACTTTCCGGCGCTCCAAGCGAACCCCCGACCAAGATAGACTTCCCCAACTGTGCACATCATGCTCCGAGTTTCTCTTTCTCTTGGCGAGCATGCTCGAGAGCCCCTTCAACCTTTGAGCAGCAGCATTCTAGAAAAAGTGATGCGAAATGACTGGGGAGGTTCCGGTTCAGTCGCATCTGCCAGCACTCCAGCACTGTGCCCTGCTTGGATTGAGAATCCTCTATGCCAGCTACCTGGTAATTGCCGCATACATATCACAGATTATGTCCAAAGCAAACTCCACTCATCAAGATGTTCAGACATGGCACCATCACTGCCGTAACAAGGTTCATAAGGGAAATGGAGACCTTGGTAGCCGGATGTAGCCGGTGATGGCTCAGAACCTGCGAATGGATCTACGCCATGTTCTTCTGTAACATTCGCTAAAGAACACCTGCCACATCCCGCCACAACCTGCCACCAAGAGTCAACGCAAATCAGCAGGCCAAAGTACAAGCCCAGTACCAATGCCTTTGCCTTTATCAAAGGCGCCTTGAATGTCAAGAGGTAATCCCGATGCATCAGGTGTCCCTCTTGGCTGTCACATATTGTGCATGAAGTTGCGTGACAGCAATTGAGCTGGTAATGCCGGAAACCACTTTCAAAATCTTTCAAAGAGCTCTGCAAACTACTGATGCAGCTCAAACCGAAAGCAGAATCTGTATTCCTCCAGAACGTACAGAAACAAGCCAATGAGGGGCATTTATACAGAAGCACTGCCAGATCCATGTCAAGGTACATAGATTACAGATATAGAATCCATCGTGACCTCGAACTCAAAATGCATAAAGGATCAGAAAGGTGTCAAAGTTGTTCAAAACCGATCAGCAACTTGGAATGTGGGTGGCATTCAGTACTGTAGCTATCAACACTATCAAGACTAGGATGCTAAGTGTGGCCAAGCATCAAATCGAACTAATGTCATCATGGCCAGGGGGATTGAACCTCGGAGCAACAAAGGGAGTGATCCGCAAAGACGTGCGGGAAGCACGGCATCAGCTGCAATACTTCGTTGCAGAGGAACTGAAGCTGTCGACGACCAGGGCATCGATCTCCGGATCTTTTCGAAGCTCCGCATCTTTGGTTATCAGCTCAAGGCCTAGCGTCAGCAGGATGCGAGAACAGCAACTGACATCAACTGACCCAAAATGCAAAGCAACATCATGCCACATCACTTGCAACCCTGATTCCCTTTCTTTAGAAGGGAAAAGTTGTGATCTCTGAGGTCAAGGCCCATGACGCCAAACACATACAAAACCTGAAGTCTGTGAACAAAATACTTGCCAAAGGCATCACATAAGTAAAATAATGAAGATATTTATCATTTGGCGATCTTGTGCCAAGAAAGCACGGAAAGCACAAGCTGAGCTTCTTCAGACAAGAAGCGATGAAAAGCAACATAAATGTAGATATTATGGTCTCGCCTAAGCATGCAGCGACGCTGCGGCTGTAACTCGGTCCGAAAATGTTGTTTTAGTGAGGCAAGCGGCAACATGCAAAAAGACCATACACCAATCTCCAAATAGATCTGATCTGCTTTATCCTCAGGGCTCAGGATGAGTCAGTCTCTGGTGAGAATCGGTTCAGTCGGGAAAAGTTGGCAGGGTGCTTGAAACTACAAACAATATCAAACAATTACCGTATATTAAATAATATGTAAATTAATCATACGTCCGTATATCCGATACACAGCCGACATTTGCACAATGTTTACTTATGTGCCCATGGGCGGGCAAAATTGCTTTGGGCTGTATATGGCTGGATAGTTTTCAGCCAAACGCGAACAGCTGCACACACTGAGCCCGGCACATTCGAAACGTCCGGATCAAACGAAAAAGGCGCGTGGTTCGAAGGACTAGCACCTGCTTGAAGGCTTTGTGTTTAAACATGTTAAACCTATTCTGGCCATACAGTATGGTTCTTTGGACCAATCCAACACTTCTGTGGTTGAATTATGTTTAAGGGCCCATGCGCCTGTTGCGCATACCCTGAATCTCCGCCGCTGGAAAATAACTCGACGAACTGCTCAACGTATGCGATGAGGACCAGCGTACTATCAAATAGAAACCATCCATCCTTTATAACTCTCCTTGGTCCAGAAGGGACGGGAACTCATATTGTTGCATATTGTTGCATTGTTTTTCCATGCGGCTGCTTTCCTTGCTGTTAAATTACAACAATTTGGAAATAACGTCTCTTATTTGCACGATTCCTGATTCCACAGTATTTGCAGCATTTTGGGGCAATGTTTGCCTTGCTACTTGTAGCATTGTGGAGCTATGTAGTTTTTTTTATTGTTTGTTTATCCCCTCCTATTTGCAACATTTTGAAGCCAACATGTCTTACTCGGTATTTGCAGCATTTTGGACTTAAAAATGTCTTGTTTCCTCCGTATTTGCAAAGTTTGGAGCTAAACTCTCATATGACTCATATGTCCCACAAAAACCATAGAAGTTTTGAAGTTTTAAGCCGCAAAAACCAACTACAGAAGACACGAAGCCACCAAAGCGAAGAAGCCACAAAAGCCAAGAAAGCGACAAACCGCAGAAGTCGCAAAAATCAAAAAGCCACAAAAGCCCAGAATCCAAAAGGGCCAAGAAGCCACCAAGCAAGCTAGAAAAGCCACGAAAAAGCCATTGAAAAGCCGCTAAAAAGCAATCGAAAAGCTGCTGAAAAGCTATTGAAAAGCCAAAAGCCAAGAAACTATAAAAGCAACTGACTGAAAGCCACAAAAGCCAGTGAAAGCCACTGAAAGGCGCAGAAAACCACCGAAAGCCGCAACGCAAGCCGCAAAAGCCACTGAAAAGTCACTGACAGAAGCCACAGACGGGAGCCACTAAAACCCACTGAAGCTGAAAGCTACTGAAAACGCCGCAAGAGCAGCAGCCACTTTAAAAAACATGCCGCCCAGAATGCTCCAGCAATGCTTTTAACTTGCCACAGATCTGGTTGAAAGTTCAAACAATCAGGAAGGCCAAGCTGCAACGGAATCTATGCCATTCTCTTGCTCAGTGCTATATAGTGCTATGCTATTCGAAGCTATTGATACATATATATATATTATACAATACAAGGAGATCGCAGCCAAGCTGAGCAAGCTATGCCAAGCTGCCATCCACGTGCAGTCAATCTCAGCAGAATCTCCTTAGCACAGCAGTATTTCATTTGAAGAATTTCCTCAGCAAACTACATCAAACTACTTTTGGATTTGCCGTGACATCAATGACATCAATGACATCCTTGGGCCTCGTAATCAAGCCTCCATTTCTATCCATTTCTATCCATTTCTATCCATTTCTATCCATGTCCATCATGTCGTTGCAGTGAAGCTTGTGCAACTGTGTGCATGTGTCCAACACGGGCAAGTAGCAACTGTGAAAATCGACAAAAAACAAACCTCGGCAATCCTCAGTTGAGCAATCAGTTTCTTGCCCAAGCTCTGTGGCCCTGTCAGTGAAAAACTCGTATGCAAAAATGGACAATGTGAAACCTCTCCGCACACTGAGACATAGTGAGACACGCCTGAAAAGAATCATATGAATCATCCAAATGAGCAGGTCTCTAAAATACCGTTATAAAAGCAATCAGAGTCGAAAAACACACGCGCCAGATCACCCAACATTCTCCTTGCAAGCGAAACACTTGGACCAGGCAAGGTCCTCCTTGCTGCGTGTCAGTGACATTTGGCTTTCCACGCCCAGCATCACGGAGTTCACCTTTCATCGGATGCCAGTTTGGTCACTCCGTCCGATGTGGCTAGGGTTTTAGCTACCAAAGACATATATAGGGATAATTTGGGGACAAATGATCGTTAATGGGTTTCTCCCAAAAATAAATCTGCATCATCTTGAAACCTTGAACTTTGCAGTGTTCACCTTCCATCTCTGCACATCTCTGCAACTATGAGTTGCCAACTCCGAGCATAAGGACGTGACAAAAGGATACAATATGTGCCTGCAAAATCCACCCCCCCCTCAGCCAAGGGATGCTAAGGGTACAACATTTCAGCCCCTAAGAACATTTAAACAAAAAAACACCTGGCATGAAAGTGTCCTTGAAAGATCCCTGCCTTGAATCATATCCAACCTAGACCTTCCAACGTTCAATAATTTCTGTACTTTTGGGCTTTTGGCCGCAAATGACCGCAAAAAGCCGCAAATGCCGCAAATAGTTCAAATTGGACCAATCGTTCAGAAACACACTAGAACAACATGAAATTGCAAGAATGAAGCTGACTTGACGTATCTTGGCATGCTAGATGGGAGTTTCTGCATGTTGACAAACAAAGTGGACCTGCTTAGCAGACGGCAAGAAAAACAAATCTAATAATCTCCCGGTTGGTGAAGATTGGTGAAGAATATGACAAAACAACTAAAGCGCTCAAAGAAGGCTTGGGTGCGACGCTAAAAGCAATCTTTGCTGGATGGGAGACACCAGACCGCTATAGACTATAGACGTTGAAACAAACTGGTTTTTTCTGAATTTGTAAAAAAAACAGAGCGCCCATGTTTTTTTGGAAGAAATGCCCGCAGGAAATTCCAAAACGGCTCTGAATTCAACAAAAATGTCGACAGTTTTCTCGCAAAAAGTACGCAAATTTCCCGCAAAAATACGCAAATATCCGCAAAAGTACGCAAATCGGGATTTCTTAATTACTGCTGCGGTTCATGCATGTGACAAATCGCATCAAATCGCAGCTTGTTGGAATGAAAACTGATATTTCTGCAAACTAAGCATGCTTCAAACTAACTATTTTAAAATATAGCCTAGTATTCCTGCATGTTTGAGGCTTTGAATCTTTGGGGGCTCCAATCACCAACACAAACTCTGCAAATTTAGGAAAGCATGGACATTATCACCAGCAATTCCAATCGGTGAATTGTGAGGGACCCATTGCGGCAAGATATTTTAACCGCAGTCAGAACTGCTGCAAAGAGTTCACTTTTTGCTGAAACCGTTTACATTTAAGATTAAACGTTTCAATCGGCCCAAAAGTGCAGAAATCCCAATCGTACAGAATTTTCTGTACTTTGGAAGGTCCAGGAAGTATATAGTTGTGTTGCAAGTTGTGATTCCAACGCTACAAGTGTTGGTGCCTGCTAGCACCTACTCAGCGACTGAAGAGCATGCATGACATGCAGGCGGGTTTTGGCAAAAATGGTAGCTTGTCACGCCATAGGAACTCATGATGACATAAACCCAATTGTCATGTGTCTCATCATTTGATTGATGTTAATGTTAGGCCTATCATGCCATAATAAATGTGTCGTGCCATGAAACACCTCTCATGGGAAGATATATCATGTTGCACACCGTGCGCAATTTCTTCATGCAGTAGCAGCCCATGAGCACAGTTGCCCGGAAATAAAGGTTCAGTTCTGTGATTAATTCTTCAGCCTGAAACATCTTCAAATGCCAACAGGAAACTGACGTCAAACCTGCCAACAGACATCTGGAAATATCTGGAATGATACGCTCATTCCAAAGCTCCCAAAGTCAATTTTCGCCCCTTCCAAAAAGATAGACTTTGGCTTGGCCAAAAGAACTAGACATAACTAGACCCTCAGGCACATCAAGGTGAACAAATTCTGAATTTCTTCAAGTCACCATGATGGCCACTGAGATCAACAACTCGAACCACGGATGCCCCACGATGATCCTCCGGACTCCAACCGGCATGTCTTTAAATACAACTGGACATATAATATATATATATATAATATATATATATAGTATATATATATAGATAGTGATAGAATAATGATAGAAGTATTAAACAGCCCTGGCATTGGCAAAAGAAAGCTGCTTCAGTGCATTGAAAATTGTCCAATTGTCTTCCATTGTGTCCCTTTTGAAACCAACAATGGATACCAACACGAATATGTAGTGAAAAGACTCAAGAATCAGCACCCGAACACCAACAAATCGTGTAATCAAATATTTCAACACATATAATATAATATCATTAATATCAAATATCTATATATAATTCTCCGCCATTTTCTGTTGTTACCTAAAGACCCTAAGAATGAGTGACAGACATCAATTCAAGTCAACGATAGTCAACGAGAATGTGTCAACGTGATCAAGAATCGAAATGTGCTAGGACGTATCTAGACGTCAAGAAAAAGCGTGATGTTCTGGGTTGGGGTTTTTAGGCCCCTGATGATCTTTGATCATAGAATCCTGATGGCAGCAAGGTGTTCAACTTTCCAGATCTTAGTGCTGAAGGCCTAGCGTCCTGCAAAGTTCAGTGAAGTAGCGCCACCAACTATACCAACTATCATCTTTCTTGGGACGTTGGACGTCAGATGCTCTGCGAGGCTTGTGGCCAAAAATCTTGTGCAACATCGTACCTCAGGAGTGCCACTCAGCTCTGGGAAACTTGGCAAACTGATCCTGCACGTCTACTACTGGCAGTGGTTTGATTGCCTGGAAAAATGATGGTTTTCTTGTCGTCGGATGATCGTGCTTCATCATCCTTCCCCAAAATGCAATACCATCATAACATCGGCTGCATCCATCCCGGGCATTAGTTCTGCCAGAGCACCATCTTCAAGTGGCATGTCCCGCAAAAGCTCTCTTGTTTCCACCTTCGGCAGAGGGCCCAGCACCTTGTCTCAAACATGGCATAACATGGCAAGGTCGCGCTCTGCAAACACAGTACAGTAGTGATCCGTTGCGTTAAAATGATGCTAATCAATGATGCCTTTTGCCGGAAAATACCAGGACCCGCTATGATTTTCAGTTTGTCACCCTTCACCCGAGGTTTACCTGTGGTTTGTTTCATGGAGGGTCAACCCCCTCTCCTAATCAAGCAGCCAGAATCAGTGGCAAAAAGTCATCTATTCTGTGACCGAGGAGTTGGTGAGTGTTGTGCCACCAATCTGAAGATCGAAATGGACCAGAAGTGCATGTTCAATGAACTTGTCCTTATGCAAATGCAAACACATGTCGTCACATTTGTACATGTTGGTCCAATACACCGTGGCCAGCCTCCATCTGTCCGACAAGCTTGAATCTGTGGATACTTCCATATCCCTGGTTGAAAGAATGAATCATGTTTTAGCTTATGCAACCGTCGCCTTTGGATTCGCAAAGGCGTATTCTTGTTTTCGTACATTGTGAACTGCGACAACGGAGGTCCTTATTGTCCCTCCCGGTCCGTACAAATGAACAATGGGGTTTTGAGCGTGGTTCACACGTCATTACTTGCATATGAATACAGAGAGGAGTGAGAAGAGGAAAGCAAAACCCAGTCTCTGCAACGTGCCGGCTGTGGCATGAACGTGTTGGAAACAAGAGATGCTCCTGAGAAACCCCGTTCCAACTCGACATGTTCTACCCATGTTGAGCAGCACCTGCCTCCACGAACGCCCTAGATGTTTACATGTCTTTCGCAAACCTACACGTCACCCTAGCCTTCCAACAACTCATGTAGGACGAGGCTATTTGTATCAGTAAATGACATTTGAATAGGCGGGCATGATGTGCAATGGCAAATGCTAGGTCCTAGGTGTCAAAGCTGGTGTCCAATCGATTTTGAACGAAAAATAAAATAAAACAATATTAACGCAATATATTGAAGGTTACCAGTAAACCGGTTTTGTTCTCTCCAAGTGAAAAAGCAGATTTCTCACCTATTACGCCAAGAATTTCGATGCCATCAGCACCTTGGGATCGACCACCACTGGATTGCCAGGAGGAAGTTCTTGCACTTCACGAAGCACGTTGTTCACAGAGATATTCAGCTGGGAAGTTGCTGACCTGACACGGTCCGAGAACGATCATCGATACTCGGCTTCGCGGCTTTATGATTCCATAAATTTCCATGACTCAGGTACCGGCCGTGAGTCCACGATTGCTTTCTCAAGTTCTTCCAGTGTTGCCTCGCCATGCAACATTTTTATATCTTTCATCGTAGACATGTGGTGCAAGCCAATGTGTAAGGTGTGCTGCATTTCTAGGTTTCCCTTTTGCCATTGATTGCTTGCCATATTCAATGGAAGTGTTCCTGACAACAACTGTTCAAAATAGAATCTGCAAAAACTATACTATAGTTGGTTTGAATTCAAACCATGTCAAGCTGTCAAAACATGTCAAAACCTTCCACAAAATTTGACAGGGGATGAATGGAAGGCCTCAAGAACAGATTGCTGTATCTTGAGGTTCTTCACCAGTTGCTCTGGCCTTCTGGACCTGCACAGCAACGAAACAGAACACCTACCGTGGGACACACGTTATGAAAAAACTATAGCAACTTGGGTCAATCAATGCAGCGAAATCATGTAAGATTGAGCTCCCCACATCATCATTGCATGGTCCAAATGTTCCAGCATCACTTCAGAAGAATGAGCGCGGAACATAGTAGCACCTACCATTTCTGGCCTCGGCAGATTGTTCGTATTGGGCAAGGATGTTTGCATTCTGGGAGAGTATTGGAACCGAAGGATTCACGGTGATTCAAGGCTTTGGAAATTGAGAATTGGACTTGATCTCAGTAACTTCGACATGGGGTTGCGCAGCGGCTGAACCACACGGGGTTCCACAAAGCGGATCCATGGTTTCCAAAAAGAATTTATATAGATAAGAAATGACAAATATACGTAATTATACATATGATTTGCAAAAAATCAATTGCTGTCTGATTTGCTGTCCTTAGCCAACAACAACTCCACTACTACATGTTGCTGTCTCACCACCATGCACGGATGGCAACTCCAAGAACTTCAAATACTGTACAATATTATTTGATGCTATTGTTTTAGATGAAGCCTCATCATAGGCTTGCTTCAGACATATCGCGTCATGTCCTTTCCATGCTTCTGTCCCTTAAGCCAAAACTGTTAAGAAAAAACCTCCTGAGGTCTTGAAAGTGGCCGCTGGCAGAATGCGGTTGTGGCTTGCTGGGACCGTTCCGAAATTCTAATGTAGGCGTTGCACCGACACGTAGCCACGCTGCAGAGTGGGACCTGCTGGACAGCGCTGGCGACTCTGGTGCCACTCCTGCGTGTCACAGGTTCCCACCAGTTTGGAAGCAATCTGACGTGTACGTGTGACGCGTCAAAACATGGTAAACATTGTACATGGGGCATGGTAATCTCACCGTTCTTATGAAATATCAGGGATTTCTTGTCATGCATCTATCAACCCCAATTGATTGATAGACAGAGACCATCGTGTTTATGAGGCAATACACGTTTGAACAATGGCACAAATGTTCTGAATTGTTATGCTTTCACCCTCAAACGCAAGGTCTAGAACCCTGCTCCTCGCTTGCGGTTCTTTGACCTCAGGCGGAAGGAATAACAAACGTCACGACATGTCACGACGGTCGAAACGAACATCACCACGCCTTGGGTGGCTTCTCACCATTGGTTTTGCTGGGAGCAGCCTGGCAGAACAGAGCGCAACGATGCATAACGTAGCTATGCTATAGCTTTGTTTCAAGCATGAACTGAGCCTCGCTGGCTTTGCTCTCACCAGCCAAGCCTCCTCTCACCAAACCCAAACCCCCAAAACTCATCCAAAACTCATCAAAACTCCGTAAGAGAACTCGAAGACCTTCAAAATGTGTGACATGTGCTGGACATGCGCTGGACGTATGTGACAGGGTGCGGATGCCAAGGGGCTCCTTTGTCCTCTTTCCGAGATGCTGCTTTGGAAGGCCTGGAATGACAAGTTTTGGAGAAATGCGCCGTCAAACATTGGGATACATTGGGAAATTGCCTGTGCTCGCTTGAGTAGCTGGAGTAGGAATATGAAGATCTTGACCGTGACCTGCCAATGCCAAGGGGGGTTCAGAATTACGAAGAACTTCAGAGTCCATTACCACCATTACCAGCATACCAAAATACCACGCCTTTCCCTCGCCATGATGGGCGCGCCCGCTTTCAATTTGGAGTTATAACACAGTTATGATCTTGTGTGGTCAAGAGATGTCAAGAGTCAAGAACTGACTGAATAACCTGGCCCATACAGTACGCGGCCTTGTGTTGATACAGGAACCAACGCAGAGATCTGCAATCAAAGCATGAAAAACAATGATGCATACATTATGCTAAATCAGTGAGAAAAGAGAATGTTTTTCGACGTCGCAGTGTTCTTCTGCTGGTCGTATAGATTGAAGCATTCCAAACACCCAAGTTTGACTGAAATCTTGCAGTATTTCAGGATGATGGAAGGTTGGACTAAACCAACGAAAAATGCGCCGCCTCATGTTTCACCCAAAAATACCCAAATGCATTGAAATTTTGGGGCCCATCAAGCAGCGAGCTGGTGGATATAAGGCAACAACCAGAACAAACAATCTGCAAGTGGATGTCTGGCATGACAAAATCAAAAAAAAAAAGGAAACGATCCGGTTTGCTCGGAACTAGACGGAACCTGAACCCTGAAAGAGGCAGAACTTCAAAATGGTCGTTTCGGACTGTTGTCCAAACGACCCCTGGCAATAATAATTAATGATTATATGTGCGCCCTTTAAGGTTTTTTTGCGCTCCTTTTATAGGTTATTGCGCCAGTTTTGTGCACGATTCTGTTGGCGGTAGCTTCTGATATCTTCTGATCCTGTTTGCATAGAATTGCACAAATTGATACAAATTGCCAATTTTACAATAATGGCACGAATCAGTAAAATGTACACAAACAGGCAAACGAGCAGAAATCTTGGTATCAACCGAAGGTGAAGGATTAGTTAAGTCTTCAAGTTCCATTGCACTTTGTTTTCCACAGCTCCGGCTGGGTCTGCTCTCAGTGAAACAGCGGCACCGGTTGGATGGTGCTGTTGCAACAAAAAGGTGGCATCTTCCCCAGCACCCAGCATCACCAGAGTTGTGGCCATGACCTTTCTGGAAATTTGTTCTCCTTGAAGAACTGGACCCTCTTCAGAACGCTTGGGAACTGCTTGCAGAGATCTGTCACTCGGCTCTTTGTCTCTTTAGACAGTCGTTGCGTAAAAGTTGAAACTGAAGTCTCCTGCAAGTAGACCTCGAGCACTCTCGTCGAGAGCCACCTCCCTTTTCTTCTCACGTATTCAGCATCTTCAGTAGCCTGCAACCAGAATGTGGCTCCTCCTGGTCGTAAAGAGCTGAGCGTATATTGTGGAGTCCGCTCAGGCCCCTGAACGACGCCAAGTGCTGATTGCAGCTGGCTGAATCTCCGCCTCATAGTTGCTGGTGACCACGGCCAAAGAGGATCGCTAGGAACAAGCTTCCCATAGACAGCAGTTAGGAGTTGAACAATGTCGATGGGGTCAATGCGCGTCGATTGATGACGCGCAGCGCGTCCTCTGGTCTTTGGCTGTTGCACCTTCAGTATCGCATACCAAACTCCAGGAGCCGCATCCTCCGGGAGGATAAGGTCGGCACGTCGTGCCTGCAACACTTCTCCGATTCTAAGCACCCCTGTCCATGCCAAGGCTATGATGGCCCCTTCTCTCGCCCAGCCCCAAAGAAGGCTGAGCGTCACCAAAGCTATCATCAAAGAAACTGGCAAGGCTCGATGATGTTCATGGGGTTCATCAACGACCCAATTGAATGCCAAGTCCCACGCCATTCCAACTTGCCTACGCAGTGCTGGGCGCTTTGATGTAATCGCATTGATTGTTTCAGAGAAGCGGCCATATGCTTTGCCAGACTGGTATAAATCTTTTCCGTATGCAACCAAGGCATCATTTATTGTTTCGACATCAAGCGCATGTCTTCCCAGAAGCTCTTCGAGTGTCAGCCTGAAATGTTCTGTAAGCCAGCTGTCAAAGGCCTCAAGCAGTTGCTCGCGTCTAGCCCTTGTCGAGGCCAAAATGGCCCTGTCAGGCTGCAGGACTGTTCCTGCACGTCGAGCTGCGCGTTGTGTCTCTCCAGAACCTGCGGGTTGCAGTGGCATCGCATGAGCACATGGCAACGCGCCGAAAGCGACGCCGAGGGCTAAAAGGGCCCAAAGGTATTTATTTGGGGTCTTAAAAATCCATTTATTTCCACTCCAACTGGAAGTCCAAATGGGGTTTGTCAAGAGGCAGATGGCTGAAACGGCAAGGAGGAGGAAAATCCAGAATCCAAAATTGGAGTAAATTCCATGAAAGGAAGAGGGTGGAGGATGGCGAGTCGAACAACCATCAACAGGACAAGTGCAAAAGGCAGCGAGGAGGGTGAGCCGTACCCAACCTGCTACCGCTCTTGAGAACTGAAGTGAGTGAAGACTGGCGACCTCCTGAGTGGAGAGATGGTCAAGGATTGAAGCTGTGGAGGCTTTTGGTAGAGGGCGGTCCCTGGTGGGAGCATCTGCTGTGTTGAGCCTGGTCGGAGCAAAACCATAAGCAGGGTGGAGGTTTCCTGCAATTGCATAGGAACAGCCTCGAAGGAGTGAGGGCCGGAGAGCAACAGCCGATGACCTGCCCTTAGCATGGGCCCCCTTGGCAACCCTTGAGTCAAGAAGGGTGCTGAATCTGCAATCACCTCCAGAAACGCAGAGATGCTTCATGAGGGCAACCAAAGATCTGCTCTCAAGAATGTTGATGTGTGCCCCTCTGGCCCACTTCCATTCTTTCAGAACCTCCCAACCTGGCTGCGACAAAATGTCATTGAGGACTGCACTCTCAAGGCGCGGCTTTTCAGCTCTTCCTTCCTCCTCAAAACTTTTCTGCTTCAGAGCCCTCGCAAAATGGCCTGCCAAAAACTTTGTAAGCCCATGATGGTAAATCGCACTAGCTTTTGTAAACTTTCCCTCAATCCTCACGTGGCTATGACCTCCAGGACAACGTGTGGTCATCTCGGAGGCTGGCAGGCCATGGCAAAGAAACCTGAAGGGCTTTTTGTGGATACACCCAAAAGCGCATGAGTCAAGGAAGGCCTCCTCAAAACCAATCCTCAAAACCAATCCTCAAAAGAAACTGCCAGCAGCTAAGCCATGCCATCTTGCTGAGACGCGGCTGCTCCAACATAGCAATAGCCCCAACACGGGCCGCAAACCAAACAATCGCAAGGCATCTGAAGGCAATCAAATTGCCCAAAAATGTCTTTGGGTCTCCTCTGTCAAAACCCAAAGGCTGACCTGCTGGCTGGATGCTGAGCTGGTGAGAAGGTAGTGCAGACCGGTTCACAAATTGCTGATCTGAACCTCCCTGTGATGAGCATGTGAAAGATCCACTCTATGAGCCGAAGGTCTCGGAGGTCGTAGTGCTTGCTTTGTGAGAGATCTATGGGAGGGCACACAGTTAGCCCCTCTGCAGCTAAGGCTTTTGAGAGCACACCTGATCCCCCGCAGATCTCAACCGCATCAAACACAAAGTCAAGAGCTCTCGTAGGTGCTGCGAAATCTTCCGCAACAGCATTTTCATCAACGTCAGCACCAAGAGACCTCAACTGCTGCCTTGCAGGATTGTCAAGCTGGGTATATGCTCCTCTTCGATCAGAACCCAGCCATATCGTCTTTGCAGTCTCCTCATCAACCTTCTTGGCTGTGAAGGCGCCTTTGTTGAGTGAGGCGTCTGTCGCATAAATGTGCTGATCATACTTGGCCGTAATGTCAGAAAGTGACACAAGCCCAAAAACAGACGCAAGAACTAG